CGTAGCCACACATGGGACTTATAATTTGACCCATGAAAAATGGATGGCAACAACACACCAAAGGGGAGACACAGTCTTCCTCTTTAAAAAAGGTGACAAAGAAAGCATTACACCTCTTTTCTCGAAGAAACTGGCAATTGATGTGTTTCTTTTACGATGATATGCAGAAAAAGTTTCTTTACAAAGTTGTTATACTAGTCAGGGGAAGGAAACATAATTTACCAAAGTTGCAGTGCATTCGACAGGCGTGGTTAACCTTGAAGAAATTACGCAAATACCTCATACATAATGAGAAATTTCCCAAATTTCTCGATGTAAAAATTGAGCTTGTTAAAATTATTGAGGGAGATTGCTTAGCTTCAAAAATTTTACTAATTAATTGAAGAGAATTTTATTCGTTTCTTGTTGGATTTTGATATTGCTGTTCAGATGGCCAATCACCTAGGATTAGTTTAGGATGGAAAGTTAAATTAAAATTGTGAACTGTAGTATTGTTAGACAAATTTGAATGCTTATTTTACCATTTTAGTAACATAAGCGTTCTATGAAACAATGAATTATTTTTTGCAAATAGCCATAAAATAGCACATTTACACGTTATTGATTTGCATATAAAAAAATCTAGATGAAGCCATAAGAAACCAGTTAGATATAGAATACCTACTTGGTTTTATTAAGTCCAGAGATAGAAATTCCTCAACGATGGTCGTGGAATAATACCAATGTCAAGGAGAACCATTATGGAGTCAAGATTTCGAGTTTTATATACGTTCTGACCCCGGTCGTCACATCAAAAGAAAGTTTACGGAAGATGTGTTAAATTTACATTCGATGGCGGATTAAAGATTAATGTGGACTAGTTGGCCGGAGCTGTGCTTGGGTTGAAAGGTTAATTTACATATAGATGAACACAGAACAGGTGATGCCTGCAGTCTGGGTCAGTGGGAAGTGGCGCAACTATGCTTTATTGGTTTACATACACACATACCTACATAATAAAGAGGATGATGTTTTTATTAGCAAGTTTACTTTAGGCTATTTTATTATTGAATTTTACCACGGTATATTTTGTTTGTTTGAGACATTAATTTCTTGTATTTAGGAAATGATTCAGATTATTGTTTTAGTCGTAGTAGTTATTGATTTAAGTGAACCTTCAGGATATTTATCTTAAGAAATACAGAGTAACACCCGGTTTCTGAAAGGCTTGTCAACGCTAAAATTAACTAATCTCCTGTTAAATCTCTTGTCAAGTCATCTGATTGGTTGTTGATAATTCAGTCAAACAATCAGATGACTTGACAAGAGATTAAATTGATTTTAACATTGATCGGCCTTTCGGAAACCGGGTGTAAATTTATCTACGCTCTAATTGAGGTAGCGAGTGACGGGTTATTTATTTTATTTCCAATTACAACAGGTAATAATCGACACAACGCAATTTTATACATACAGTACAATATTTTACACAGACTGCTACCCAAGCGTAATCACACAGCATGGTTAGCTCCGAATTGTAATTTTTTCAACATACATATAACACAACTTAATATAGCACATCAACTATGAAAAAGCTAGTATAGCGTCCAAAACGTCCATTGTCGCAGAAACATAACACTTACTACATTAATATAAAATCTGTTATATCCTACAACTTAAACACGGAACTGACTGAGAAATATAACATATTCATTCTCGTTATTCGATAACCAGTAATAATAGTATACAATACACGAGTACTAAGGCAGCTTAGTGGCAAGGTTACGTGGGTAAACGAAGACATACGCAATTCTTTGTAAGTACATAGTTAAGAAGATTAGTGTAATGTTCTGGCACATCTCACATGAGCCTTTTAACATCAAGCTAGTAAGCTGTTAACAAAATATCTTCATCGTGTGAATATCGATTCTTTTGTTTTACTAACTAGCCTTCTTTTTTGAGGAGAAAAAATCATAAAATGACTTCTCTTTACTAAGGTATGGCGAGTTCTGGAGTGTCAGATTCCTACTGACTAAAAACGAGGCCGCGGTACCTTAATGTGCTTAGTCCGCAACCCCGGTTCAATAACCTCCTGAATTTAAGACAAATGTGACTTAATGTAAGATGAACGATTGACTAGAAATGACAATTTACGAGGTTGATTCGGTAATTTATGTCAAAACAAATCACTTCAGAATGTCTGAATCGATACTGACTAAAAACCACCCTGTTCATCCTTCTCCTGCTCCTTTTTCGGCTCGAGAGGTCGCGGTCCATTACTGGGCTTACACTGGCAATCCCTACTGGACATCGGTCCTAATGGGCTCCATCTGAGGTGTTTTGGTGGCGCTTAGCTACCCTCGGGTACAGGTGAGTACACGTTAGAATTTTAGAAGCGTCAGTAAACAAATACTTACAAATACTCCTTTTTCATAAGGAAAAACGGAGAAGAAAATCCTTTTTCTATGAATTCCGAAAATTTTTCCCGGTATACGACAAATGGCTCATCATCTATTATGTACCTTTCCAAAATTAGATCGAGAACAGTAACAAGTCTTTAGAATTTTTCATGAACAGTCACCATTACAAAATACCGGTAAAATTACGTTATTCTATTGACTTTTTTGCATGATACACCAAATTTTTGCGATCGCGATTTCTGAAGTCCGTTCTTGTTTAATCTCTTAAACTTTTCCAAGCTACTGATTGCTCGTAATGACTATCATAGCACTGAATCAACTCAGTTCTCCATTACTCGTTTATAAAATGGCAAGTCATCGTCATTATTTTTAACTTTATTGCCGTTGCTATTTGGAGTTTCAAGACAATACTGTCTTTCATACAAACCACATGGGCTATCTTTTAAACAATCATCGTTTCTTTTATCTTTTGGACACGGACGAAAATAAGCAACTTATATATGAAGGCACCGGGGGGTTGGTAGAAATATCAACATCCCGATCATCGTCTTCACAGTCCATCGCAGGGCGTAGGATTTTTTAATCAGACCGAATAAATTACAAAAAACCCGGACGTCGGCGAACCGTCTCCTATGACAGTCTCAGCGCTCGCTCTCCACCATAATGCGCACGCAGAACTGTCAGTTTGACGTTCCGCCAGAGTACTATTCATTGTACCCTCGTCCGATGAATTGTGATAAAACCTACTTCAAAATTCAATTTAAATAATCGACACTCCGACATATACATAAACGTTCTAGAAGCCTATAGAAGGAACGATACTTTATGGTTTCCACAAAAACTAACCATTATATTGATTACCATAACTGAATAAGGTAACATATGTTACAAAACTTCTTATTTAAAACAAAACATTTTAATAGAATACAGTTTTCCTTCAAAATATTACGAACAATGTAACGATTCGATTTGTTTACATTCTTTTTTACATACACCAGAACATCAAGCTTGATATTCATTCATCCTTTACCAAATGAAATAAGCGAAAAGGTTTTGTATACCTTCGATTATATGGTATTATTTTCTTATTTCAAAATTATCAACCAATGTTTACATATCTCAGAATACAGAACAAACCAGAAGCCGCGTTCACTCATAATTACATGTCGTCAAATGTGTCCAAAAACAATACGTCAATCCCCCCGCCAGCCGCACTTCCCACCCGCGTAGTGTTGCCGACAGTGGAACAATTCCCTTAGTTTGGGGTAATTTTACAACAGGAGGGTAAGATACAAGTAAACCCAACAAAATAGGTAAACTTACGATAAATGCAACAGACTAGTTGTTCACACATTTCATAGAGGTAGCATAAAAGTTGACGATTTCTGGATTTGTTAATTTTAGTTACACCTACTATACACAACAAATAAAATAAAGCTTCAATAAGTACGAAGGTTTTATTGCGTTCCCTTTTGCTGGTTTAGTTTTTTATATGTATTGTCTTTAGACTCGGAACTAAAGATTAGAAGTCTACTTACTTTACTTAGTTCCTGAGATTTGCGCATTGTAGCAAACAAACAAACAAACAATCTTAGTAGGATATGCTGTTTTCAAACTACCTTTGTCATAAATATATCTCTTCAAAGTGAATTGAGCAAACTATGCTCTGGCTAGATGGTTTCCAAAATTAATCTAACCGTGCCCTTTGTTTTTATTTGTATTTATTTTTTTGTCAGGGAAATTAATATGACATAGGCTCCATAATGGACTAAATTATAACCCACAACAAATAAATAAGTGGGTAAAATTTTCACCAAAAATGACAACACTCACAAAATGGCCGCATCATTTTCATAGAAAAATAAATCGATAAAAAAAATTCAATAATTAATTAAATACACTATTGCAGTCGATGCTTGCAGATGAAATGTAATCTTATCCACTTTTTTCGTAATTCCAGTCGCATTTTTACTCGTAGTAACAACACAAGACGGCATAATGAAATTAAAATTGATACTCGTAAATACGTCACGACATGCCACGTGCCAAAATTGACTAATCGTAGAAATTTCATACTATTCTAGTTGAGAATGGTTTTAGTTGCGTCAGTTTGAAGCGCGATGACGCCTTCTGGTTTGTTCTGTATTCTGAGTTACATATAGAGTTCACATTCTTCAACAATAGTATACCGTGAAAGCGCGGTTGATACTAAGAAGATGCTTTTGTGATTATATTCCGTAATTATCTAAGAGCAATTTTTAAGGATCAATATTGTGTACGCGGATGTCACGTAGTTTTACAGTAAAAGGCCTGAAAACTTCACTTTAAAAAATAGGTGTAAGTATGAAGAAGTCTTCATATTTTTTTGTAATTAATAAGACTACTAGAAACTTCTACTGTGTTTAAAAGTTATCATATTCTAAAAAAAGGAAGAGGTTTCTCAACTCAGCCGAATATATTTACCATATTTACAATTTCATACAATACACCATTAAGTGTATTTCTAAATAAATACCCACATCGCACCATGTTGAAAAAACAACAAATTCTTCACGATTCTAAGACATAACGAGAGGAGTTAAAACTCAATTTTCCACTGACCTTTGATTGGTGGTAATTTCACGAGCTCCTGGTTGTGATTGTGGACGTTGAACCTGCTGGAGCCATGTCTTCGAGGCTGGCCGTTCCAGCCGGGGGGTCGGGGCCCTTCAGCCGATCTTGGCACAATGGGTGCTGGAGGAGGTGGCCCTGATGCGAGCGCTGACAGCTGTTTCTCTGGTCGAGTCTGGAGATGAGAGAAAATGGTTAATAACATTACATACGTAGTGATCAATCAAGGTAAGTAAATAAAAACGGATATAGGACAGAAATTCAAACTTGTATTGTATTATACTTTAAAGCAAATCTTTTTTAACCAATAGGCAGTTCAGTAACCAATCCATTATTACTGTCTCTGTGCAGCATCGATTTTTCATTCCTAACATACATCATCATGTATCAAAACTTAGCTGATGACCATCGAGACGTAAATTTGGAGTAAAATAAGAGCTGTTATTTCACTAATCTGACAAAAGTAAAACACGAAATTTTGGATAAAACTTGCTTTATGTAGTAAATTAGAAAATTATCAAATGATTTTATAGACACAGAGTATATTTCAAATTCGTTCTTTAGGGTTGATTTTACAATGGTTAGATAAAAGTTATCTGGGGAATAATTATGTTGCTGTCGCAGTCAGAATGTTTGTATAAGACAGTGACAGCAACAATATTATTCTTGAGATAACATTTATCTGACTATTGAAAAATCAGTCCTAAATCAAATTTCTAAACATAAAATATTTCCTAAAACACCTCATCTGTAGCTAGATCCAGCTAAAATTAGTTTTCGCACTCTAAATTTAATATTCAGAAAGGAAGCATTTAATTTATTATGCTGAAATAATTTACAGCTCCTTGCTAATTAATTCCTTCAATACTCTTAACCTTGAGCAGTTCACTAGACTTAGCATCCTCGTGTTATTTAATATTTAAATACTGATAATATAATCTGAAGTTAATGTTTGCAAAAAATATAAAGTAAACGGAATGACCTTATAGAAAGTATTAACGACATACGAATATAAACTTTCACATTTTTTTAATAATATGGGCCTGATCCACACTCGTCTACAATATTTAATTAAATCGCGGTTAGCTTAAATTATACGTATCCCATACAAAATAAATTAAATCAAACGTGAATAAGAATAAGAACTTTGATATTGAAACAAACTTTGATTTTGACGTTCAAAAGTGCCTGTTAAGGTCTAATTGGAATAAATGACTTTTGACTTTTTTTTTGAACCCTACCACTAGAAAAAAATAACTAAATTCCTCAAATCTCAAGCGAACGCCTGACGTTCGCGCGTGTTCTTCTATGTGTCTCGAATTACCAAGATTTAAAGGTTAAAATACAAAAAAATCTAAACTTAAGTAATATTATAAAGCTGAACAGTTCGCTTGAACGCCTTAATCTCCGGAACTACTGGATTGAATTGAACAATTGTTTTTCAGTTGTATAGTAAGTATTAAAAAAAAAATACGCTACAACTAATAAAAGCCTAGCAGCGAGTGGAATCGCGCGGCAGTAACTAGTCTGTCATAAAAGCAGTCTACCTGGTTATAACAAATTCTAAGCAGAGAAGAATTTTAATATTACTTAATATTTTTTTCATTGTTGAATGCTCAATAGTTTTACTTTCAAGTTCCATAATATCGTAGTGGAATGCGAATGCTATGAAGCCTGGATTGTCGGTTGATCGGTTCGTGCTTACCACTTAGTCCTTGAAGAACTCAAGGTTTCTTGGAATGGAAGAAAAATCGAAGATCGAGGTTAATACTAGTATGAAATTTAAATTCGATTTTAAAATTCCTGAAGAACATGGTTCAGTTACTTGTTAAGATATTCAGTTCGTTCTGATATTGATACTAAAGACCCTCACCAGCTTCGCAAAGTTATAACGCTGATAGTCATGTTTTCCACTATATAATGAGTGTTGATATATGTACATATAAAACTTCGTCTTCAACCACACAATCTTTTAAAAAAATTGCATCAAAATCCATTGCGTAGGTAAGCACACATAGGGATACAGTGACAGAGAAAGCGACTTTGTTTTATACTATGTAGTGATGATTATTGACATTTACGACGTCAGCTGTGGGTTACGCGCAACAGTATTCTGTTGGGCCGGCTCAGAGCAGAAGATAGCGACCACCAAGTACAAACTCCTCCTTTTTAGTCATTAAGATTCCGTGGTATTAGGTATTCTATGGTTTTAGCCCCTCAAAAAAGATCGCGTAATTTATGCTTTAAACAAAATCGTGTAAAACAAACGTGAATGTAAAGCGGTTGAAAAATAGACTCAATGTCAATGCTATTGTGGAAGGAAACACACAGATACATACTGCACTGCATCCATATAACATTGACAGACAGACAGACCTTTTATTGTTTGAGCTTGTTTTATTCAGGACTCCGTCTATTTCCTTGGGGAACCTTGGCTATCTAGTATTCTGGTATAAGCTGGAGGTGTGTTCTATTTATAGAAAGGTAAATTGTTTATTTTACGATAAGTTTGCTGGGCGAGGGTTTTTGACTTCAGCCCATGATAATAGGTAATTATAGGTAGGTAAGTAGGTATAGGGTAACAGTATATATAATTTTTTCACACAATATTTTTATTTAAATGCATCAATCTAACGCAGTTAGACAAACTGCGTTTGTTTAAGAACACAGAGTAATAATTTACGTAATGACGACCTAGTTATGTAATTTTTACAGTAAAATGGTAAACATAATTTACATACTATGTATAGTCAAGAATATAGACACCACAATCGTGCTGATTTACAAAAACATTTACAATAAAATGAAAAAAGAAACTTAATGTTTAATTTAGCCTGTTCCACATCTCTGATATGTCAAGAGTTTTTAATGCCTAACTTTAAAATACGAACTTTCCCCTAAAATTTCAATAGTTTCAAATAGCGTTTCCGCATAGAACATGAAATACAAATACGTTAACTGCAATAGCAAATGTAAAAAAAAACATAAAATTTTAAATGTCAGAAGTAACAAATGGAATACCATTTAAAAAAACGTGCACAGACTTCAGGATGCGCATGAGCAGATGCGTAGTGGGTGTGCCTCGCAAATACAGTAAACATTAACGTTTTCTGGAAAACTCTCTAGTGTAACAAAACGTTAAATTATTTACGAGACTTACTTACACAAAAGGTTTATTTAACGATGCAACCGATTGTATGTATTGACTAACTAACATACGAGCACAAAAACATAATAATTGTACTCTATACTGAGTGCCTAGCACGAATGACTATCGTAATCGTAACGTTAACGTATCGAGACGTCGATACTTCATGTGACGAAAACGGAATGTCGCAGCACGAAGCCTATCGTATCGTCTAGCGAGAGCTCGAATCGAATTCGTTAGTGACGTCATGCTAATGTAAGCTAGAGAAGCACCCAAGTGAACGAATTGAATGAATTCTTGAACATAATTTAACATAATGATTTCGTCTGAAAACTAAAATTAATTTTAAACATATTTCAACCTTCGTCTACACCTTTTATGGTATTATATTTAAATGAAAAAATATTAATTACGTGAAATAATTCTTAAAACGAGTCAAGAAGTATATAAAATGACTTTATCTATGAAAAAAATATTATTTGGTTATTTAAATTTTGTAACATAATTTACGATTTCCGAACGTTCTTTTGACAAAGGTGACGTTTGACGGCTATTGACGTATTGTTTTATAACAAACAAAACAAAGAATGTAGATAATTATGCGGCTATCTTATTATGCGGTTAGTTTAAATTTATTTTAAAATGAGGAGGACTCGGCTCCAATACGAATTAATGGTGGATTTCATGGAATATGCCAGTGACAAGCAGCGAGCCTTCAGTGTTCCGACCACTCCGCAGTACCCATGAAGCCAGCCGTTCACCGACACCACCAGTCCCGACCAGTCGCCAATCCTCCATTAGAAAAGGAATGCTAGAAGCCTCGACCGAAAACAAAAATGTAAAGGGAGTTTAATCAAATTGTGTTTAGAGAATGATAAGAAACCTAGGGAGTTTGCTAGGGAGCGTGAGGAAACATATGATATAATGGAACAAGAGCGTTTGGAATTACGACGAGAAGAATGAAGAGTAAGACAGAGAGATGCAGAGCTCCTTTTACAGGCTCAGTGGCTGGAACTTTTGAGAGAGGCAAAAAATGAATTAAAATATAATCTAGTTAAAAAGATGATTAATGTATATTTACATATTTTAATTTAATTTTAATGTATATTACTACATTTTGGAATGAGGAAAGATTATGTTAGAATTGAATTTAAAATGTCTCACTATAGTTACCTATTATAAAAACATAGGTAAGAAGTTTTTAAGTTAGATTAGTGTGTAAGATGTTTTGGAAATGTATAATAATAAAACACTTGGGTCATCTGTGTAGTATATTTATTTGCTGTACCAGAATATTACTTAAAGCCCTTTCACTTATCAAATCATCGCTTCTATCATTTTCATGTCTCATATCAGAAGATGAGGTATGAGACAAGTCTTGATGTTCAGCTGTTGTTGTATCTACCTGTGGCTCAGGAAAATTGAAATTTATGACCAAATTATGCAATACGCAGCAAGCCGTTGTCAAGCACATTTTTCAGGAGCATAATTCAGAGTGCGGTCTTTGCACAAGCATCACCTCTTCTTCTTTTACCGCAGTATATAGTGGCCCGGAGTTCCCTCTACCGCATCCAAAATGAGTAGGCCTCATTAGCCATGGTCGCTGTGGGTAGCCAGAATCACCTGTAAAAAAATACTTATTAGAAAACCTAATTTATACTAGCTACTTCCTCGCGGTTTCACCCGCTGCTCGACTCCTATTGATTTCATTTTAGCATTATAAGGTGAGTTTTTTGTTGGAGTTGCTCACAGAAGTACTTGAAGGCTTCTTTATTTAGGCGGTACCTAGTATTTCTAAACTACGTTTCAGTGATATCCATTGGATTAGATATCTTTCTGAATTTAGCTCGGCACACGATTTCTTTAGAATAATCAGTTAATTCGTATTATTTTCTTGAATACATATGTCTATATTAAGTGAAACATAACTTGAATAGGTAGGTACTTAGGTACTTACGAAGTTTCTCTTGACTCTTCATCTCCAAGTAAAATAGCCACAAATAAACTATTTCTCCAACTTGGTTCGTACAGCGGCGGTTTTGCATGATGTTATACTCGTAAAGAATACTCACAAACCTTATAATATATTATTTAAAACACGATTGAAATATTTCGAAACCTTTCTCACCGTCAAATTCTTAGTGACAAATGTTTCGACAGTTTTCGATAGCCAGCCTTCGAAACTTACGTTACTATACGTCAAAAGATCGTTCGTGCTTCCAATTTGTGTCAAAATGTTCTAAGTTTCGATAGCAACACGATACGATTACTATACGATAGTTGTCAAAATCATTCGTGCTTGCGATTTTTAGTTCCTTTTACGCACGGTAGGGGCGCTGTACAAATCCCATAGAAAATGCTTTCGATCTCGATACGAATACTTTCTCGATAATGTTCGTGCTAGGCACACTGAAGGTAATTCCCCAAGAGAGAAAAAGCCTAACCATTTTCCCAAGGTTGTTTAAGTACCAATAAAAACTAAAATACAATCACGAAAGCAAAACCCAATAAATAAAAAGAAATTAATTCTACTACTTCAAATACCCACAAGACAAAATCGATTTTCTTAAATAAATTATGAAAAGAGCTACGTGGGAGGCACAGAAACAATTTGAACAGCCAATCAAATATAATAATACAATGTCAAGGTTGATGTAGAAATTACACAATCGATACACGTCTAGTTCGATAACTTTACGGTTTAGGTTAACACAGAAATAGAGCCTCAAAAGGGATGGTGTTTCTTTTTGTCACGGGAAAATCATCAAATGACTTCTCCCGCCCAGTTTAAGGCGAGAGTGTTAAGACTCTTACTGACTAAAAACACCCGTTCCTTCTCCTGCTCTGGGCCGAGGCCGCGGTGCCTCATTGCGCTTACCCCGCAACCTCAGCTGAACATCAGCCCTATAGGGCTCCGTCTGTGGTGGTCTATTGCTCTTTGAAGCGCGCGCGGAACGGTCTACACAACGTACACTCGGGTCTGGTTCAGGCCGGGCGGCGGCGAGCTACCCTCACTCGCAGTCCGCAGACCCGCGACCTGTGATCGTCTCTCGAAAAGGGCTGATGTTAAGTTAGGGAAATGGGTGCAAGCACAATAGTGTACCGCAGCCCAGGTATGGAGCAGGAGAAGGAACGAGATGGCTTTAAGTCAGTAAGAGTCAGACACTCCTGGCTTCACCAAGGGCGAAAAAAGTCAATTCCCTCCCTAAAAAAAGGTCTGTATTCTACATAAGCGAAATGTGCCAATTTATTTGCGACATTAAGACACGTTGTCATAAAATTGTCGGATAACGTGTGTATATATCATTTTCCTGGATAGATTTAGATAAATCTATCCAGGAAAATGATATATCTATAGCAAATGCCATTTGTCTTCATTGTTTGGTTGAAAGCACGAGGAGTTACAACGTTGGAGTCCGACAACTTTACTGTGCTCTAGGGATGCACTTTTAAGACACTATCTGTAAATGTACTCTGCAAAATCCCGTTTCTCGGCAGCTATATTATAATATCTAGACAGGGATAGTCTTCAAAGTAAATAAAGCAGTCTGGTTGTGTGTGTATGTTCAAAGTCCTTCAATTTTTAGATAGAATTCAAGCGTATCAAATTATACCGATGCGGCTTTTGCACCGTTTTGGACGATCTGCTTTGAAGCGGTTACTAAGATAACGCTTTTACCTATTGTTTTTGTTAGACGAAGAAATTTCTCAGAAGTTAACTGAAAATCTTTAGTTAGATTTCAGACTTTTTTTATGAAACCGGATGTGGTATCTTTTGGCTAACTGTATTTAGAATCTTAATTATAGACGGATAACGAGCTTGCTTGAAAATTTATAAAAAGAAGAATTTTCGTTTGTTTGTTAACAAGACGTGAAATCAATGATAATAATTGCTCGGGTTTGTACCGGATAACATTGATTGAATAATTACAAATATCATGACTTTCAATGTTGTTCAGGATGTTTGCGGTTTTCCGACAAACAAACTTATAATTCCAAATCAAATATAACATCTGCCTAACTTCTAGCTTCATTACGCTTTTCGAGTTATCAATATTTTTTCAAATAGCACCCATCGCATAAAATTCTTTACAAGTTGAAACGACAATTCCGTTCAAAAGTTCGAAACGTACATGAGAAAGTTAAATGGTGACATTTCTTTCTTGAATATTAACTTTTACTTGCAGACTTATTTACCGTCGGTATTTTAAAAGAAATACCACGTAAGTACATACATAAAAGTTTTGCAAAAGTAAAATGACCCTTTCTTTTTCTTTGGGAGTCGTGAAAGGTTGGTAATTTGACACTGAAGATAATATAAGGTATGCGTAGATAGAATTATGACCTTGAACTACGCCAGAAAACTGTACTGAGCCATATTTTTGAAGCGGATAACGCTAATGAAATATTTGCTAGCTATTAAACGGAGCTAAATTAGGAAACTGTTTCCATAAAGTTTATGATTATGTGCGATACAAACCAGACTGCTTTATTTACTTTGAAGACTATCCCTGTCTAGATATTATAATATAGCTGCCGAGAAACGGGATTTTGCAGAGTACATTTACAGATAGTGTCTTAAAAGTGCATCCCTAGAGCACAGTAAAGTTGTCGGACTCCAACGTTGTAACTCCTCGTGCTTTCAACCAAACAATGAAGACAAATGGCATTTGCTATAGATATATCATTTTCCTGGATAGATTTAGATAAATCTATAGATAAATCTGGCGTAGTTCAAGGTCATAATTCTATCTACGCATACCTTATATTATCTTCAGTGTCAAATTACCAACCTTTCACGACTCCCAAAGAAAAAGAAAGGGTCATTTTACTTTTGCAAAACTTTTATGTATGTACTTACGTGGTATTTCTTTTAAAATACCGACGGTAAATAAGTCTGCAAGTAAAAGTTAATATTCAAGAAAGAAATGTCACCATTTAACTTTCTCATGTACGTTTCGAACTTTTGAACGGAATTGTCGTTTCAACTTGTAAAGAATTTTATGCGATGGGTGCTATTTGAAAAAATATTGATAACTCGAAAAGCGTAATGAAGCTAGAAGTTAGGCAGATGTTATATTTGATTTGGAATTATAAGTTTGTTTGTCGGAAAACCGCAAACATCCTGAACAACATTGAAAGTCATGATATTTGTAATTATTCAATCAATGTTATCCGGTACAAACCCGAGCAATTATTATCATTGATTTCACGTCTTGTTAACAAACAAACGAAAATTCTTCTTTTTATAAATTTTCAAGCAAGCTCGTTATCCGTCTATAATTAAGATTCTAAATACAGTTAGCCAAAAGATACCACATCCGGTTTCATAAAAAAAGTCTGAAATCTAACTAAAGATTTTCAGTTAACTTCTGAGAAATTTCTTCGTCTAACAAAAACAATAGGTAAAAGCGTTATCTTAGTAACCGCTTCAAAGCAGATCGTCCAAGACGGTGCAAAAACCACATCGGTATAATTTGATACACTTGAATCTATCTAGAAATTGAAAGACGTTCAGATAAATGTATTTTTATACTGCTACAGTTCTCGAATGCCCTTGCACTTGACGCATCAATGACGATTGACAATGCATGTGTGTCTAAGTCCACCAATGAGCATGTGGGACTGTGTAGGTATCATTGAAATATAGCAAACAGTCGAACATCGATAGCAAAACTATGAAACAATAGATATTTATAGACTCAAATGGATTGGAAATGTGAAATTTTATCATGCACATAACCGTTGGGGTCGTCTGTCTGAAGTTGAAGATTTATAAGTCTACTTTTTTATTATACTTGCTATGGTTATGTCATTGGTTTCGTGTAAAGGCCAACCTGGTTCAGTATAACATGATATACCTACCACAATATAAATATGTTTTACATATTACAGTAGCAAAGAAGAAGAACAAAGAGTTTTATCAGCAAAAAAGCAAAGAATACTATTGTATAGTATCGATGTCTGTGGGTCATATCCGGATACAGAATCTTAAGAGCAAAATTCACGTCACTATATATTTATTAATTAATCATTTAAGACAAGTCAACAAAAAGTTTCACTTCTTCGAGGAAAAAAACGTCTTAATAATAATTGGTTAGTTTACGATCGATCTTCTAAAAAATCTCGAAGCGAAGTGTTCCGTTGGGTATGTAAAGCGAATAGTAAGACGGTAGACGTCTCGGGTCGATGACGTAGAAGAACCCCCGTTACTTATAGAGCGATATTAAAGTATATTAAGAATATCAGGCCAGATTCTAACTTTGAAATGTTTTTCTTCGCTGAACAAGCCATATAGAAAGCATATTTTTCTATTTCGAGTTTTAGACGTTATAAAAATTGTTGTAACATTTAAATGTTCCGAAAATTCCTAATTATCAATGCAGTGTCAATTGTGCTTTGCACTTGAACTTGATATTGTCACATTCATGTTGATTTTAATATTGACTATTCATAAGGAGCGTTATATGTGCGCTACTTAGCGTATTTATATGAGAATATTTTGGCAACTCTGTATATTTTTGGACATCAAAGCTTACCGTGACGGGTGAGCGGTTTCGGCGCCTCCGAAACATCGAGGAAAGAGAGTGGCTAGTCAGGTTGGCTGACGATATAGGAGACACCAACATTTTGCACTTTATCCGACACTATCACACACACTCGAACCGAAACATTCCCGTTATCACTGGTTTAGCGAGTACGCACTGAACTGTAGCTATCGGTTACAATACTGTGTGTTAAAGATAAAATTCTGAAACGTTAATTTTCCCGTCAAACGAAGCTGTACAAACATGAAAGCACACAGACGAGCTAAAGCACAATGAATCCGCTTTGTGATTCGAAGAACAATAAACTTTTACTATCATGCCACATAAAAAGTTTCACTGCAGTGCGCAGTAGTTCGTATTTTGCGAGAACCAGCGAACCTATCACTTTTCTTGCTTTGCTCAAAACACGGCGAACTTTCTCTGCAAGTTTACCATATGCGAGTCATATCCGAACGTCGATATGTCAACACACAAGGAAGAAAACAAAAAAAACACGAATTAAATATGGAAAGTATTGCACAAGTTTGGCAGAAAGCATTCGCGGCCGGCGTACAATTTAGAACCATATCGGTAACGTTTCTAGACTCACTAAGAAATAAGAATCAATATCAAAGAGTAGATTGAAAAGTTTACAAGGTGAAGAGTTTTCTGGAATAGCGTCAAGACACCAAACCTCGTTAGTGAGACGATCCGGTGGCAGTAACTCGATCCAGAGCGCGCAATCTACTGCATAAATTAACTTTGTAGCCCACTTCGTTTAAATTCTTTAAACATTTTGTTGGCCTTATCTGTTATTAGTAAATTATGTGATATCACTGCGGTGTGCTAAAATTATGTGGGGTATTAAAGTGCAATTAAATTCGTCCTGTTTATTTTAGGCTTGGAAATATAACGGGGGATTAAACACAAGGTAATATACGGCAGCAAATTCAGACACACTCGTAAATTTTGTGTAAGCGTGTACACAGAAGCGTTCACGTCGCGAAACTAATCGGACAGGAATCAGATTTCTAAATACTATTGTGTATTGTCGAATTACAAACGATTTCCTACAATTAAACGGCAAATTGGCGCAACTTATGTTACGTTATCTATAAAAGCGATGACCTGGATGCATTTTTAGCGAATCGTTATTTAGTAACTAATAGGTAAATAGATACCTACGTCTTTTTTTAATTGGTTCAATAAGCCGACATATAGGAATGCTAATTGCAGAAGTAATTTTTTGGCACTGTTATACAGCAGTTTTCTCGTAATTCTAGAAATACTCTTCAAAAGTCGTAATTTTCTTTGGCTCGCGTTGTCATTGGTCATATTAGAGGAATACTAAATGACTATAAATACTGTAGCAAATAAAATATACCAACGACTTACAACTTTTGTTTTATAATAATCGTAACTAATACGGCTATTGTTAAATTTTGAGGCGTTCGTTAGTTGTCAATGCCGAAGACCGAATCTGAATTGGTAATGGGGTGGAATTATCGTTGCAATATTAAGAAGGGGACGCTCCTACAAGACGACACAAGAAATAGATACAACATCACTGTTACAGCATTTGTTTAAATACAATGAAAAGAAAGTTTCTGTCCATTTTATTGGCATATTCATCATTAGAATGTAGCTACGTCAATATACTTCAACAAATTAGTTATAAATGTTAATACTTTCTAATAAAGTGTAAAATTTATTGTACCTACACATTCCAAATCTTAGACCTGAATTCGTTTATTTACATATTTATAAGCAATGACTAGTTTACTCACAAAGCGACTCTCAATCTGTAAGATTTTCGGTGACAGAATAAAATCTATGCCTGTTAACACGTTTAAGTGTGGGAGATCCAAGCTTCGGCACGAATGGGTCGGCTCGACCGGAGTGATACCACGGCCTCACAGAATACCGACGTCAAACAACTACAGCGTTGTGTTTCGCCGTGTGAGTGAGGTTACCGGAGACCCAATCCTTCCCCTCCCCCGATCCCTCCCAATCCCCAAATCTTCAAATCTCTCTAATAGGTCGGCAACACACTCGTTACTCCTCCGTTACGGGTGTCCATGGGCGGCGCTGATTACTTACCATCAGGTAATCCGTCTGCCTGTTCGTTTGCCGACGTATTCAATTAAAAAAAACAATTCCGTATAAGGAAGATCAAATAGGTACAGATATATTCACAACTAGCTACTCTCGCGCGGTTTCACTCACTGCTCTGCTCCATTTGATCGTAGTGTTTTAGCCTGTAGCACTCAGAAACATTGTAGCTATCTATCAGTGAAAGAATTTCGGCAATCCGACCAGCGAGCGGTTCCAAGGATTACCCCCTACATACAAACCTTCAAATTTTACTTCTGTAATATTAGTATAGATAAAATAGACTTACTACTTCCAAGATCAAAAGCATATGAAACAGCCAAAATTCCTAGAATAAAAACTCTCTCTCTTTCTAAATTTCTTCCAGAAAGATAAAAATTACAACATCCGTATAATGATATGAGCTAAAAATCTCCAACTTTAAATAAACCAGATGACCTGCGCAAACGCAATGAACGTCAGTGAAGCGCCCACATGAAATAGAGAAAGCAAACAAAGATGCGATGCTCCTATAAATAGTCAATCTTGGATCATTTTCTTGTAAATCCGGATAGAGTAAACAGACTGAACTTGTGTTAATTGAACAAGTATGTACCTACTAGAATGTCATTGTGTATTGTGGAATATTCCTTAACACGTTTTGGGTCCAAAAATGTATTATGAAGTATTTTTTGTGTGATTTGTCGGCAAACGAGCTTAGAGATTACCCGATGGTAAGCAATCAGCGCCGCCCATGGACAGGTTTTGGTTTAGGGATTTGGAGATTTAGGGATTGAGGGAGGGGGGCGGGATTGGGCCGGTAACCTCACTCACACGGCGAAACACAACATTATTATTTTATGTTTTTACCTTTTTTATGGAATAGGAGGCATACGACCAGACGGATCACCTGATTGTAAGTGATCGGCGCTGCCCATGGACACCTGCAGCACCAGAGCAATCACAGGTGCGTTGCTGGCATTTAAAAAAGGAGTACCCTCATTTTTTGAATGTTTGAAGGTGGTATCGGTTAGGGGCTACCGCCGCCGGGAGATCATTCCAAATTTTTGCTGTGCGGAGCAGAAAGTCGCGTGAACCGAGACTTTACTGAGTTAATTCATAATGTTCGTACGCCGCTTAAATTTGGCGCTTCTCCTTTCTTTTTGGGAGATCCACACCCAAGTGTTTGAAAGCCATGCTTCAGCGTGAATAAGCCGGGTCAACGGGAGGGATACCACATCCCGACTAGAATTCAGCGTTAAACAAAGCTTGCCTTGTGTTTCGCTGCTTGAGTGTGATTACCGGAGGCTTCATAATTATGGTTGATAAAAAGCGGTGCAACTAATCTAGTGGGGTTAATTTTGAGTTTTGCGTTCAAATTAGTTCCTCAACAAGAATTCTGAATCATTTAACAATACGTTAAATAGAAATTTTAAATTATCTGATTGAGTGCTTTGAAAGATGTTTGAGTTCAACGCAGATACATGCGGAATTACTGTAAAATATATTTAAAACACCACACTTTGGAAAACATAAACAAGGTATGTTTACTATGATAATATAACATTTACATATCTGCCTTCGCATAGATAACTTGGTTCAAGTACATAGATGAACGTGAATAAGATAAGGCCTTTCATTTTCCTACAGAGATATTGTTATTACTGTAAGCACACTAAGCGAATAACAATAAAATTTACATTTGCGATAAAATTACAAAATAAAGCGTAATTTTGTATCGGAGGAGAATATTTATTTATAATTTATTCGATGCGGCAACATTGAATATTCGCTGTTATAGCGGGAAGGCTTCAGAATGACAGGCGGATTAAAACGTCGGTTACTGGCTGGTAGCATATTTCCCGGGCTGTTTGTTATTGGCTACCGTGACGTACCAAGGCCACACACAACATGACGCCCTGTTAACAGTAATGGACAATTCATTAGCTTGATTGTAAACGCTTGTGGAACGCCATAAATATTTTGCAAGAAACACGAGTACGAAATTAATAACAAATTCTAAAAGTTAAAGACATTTCATTCAATCTAACGACATAAATTCGCCACATTTACAGGCGTAGGACGTAGCATCATTCAGTATTTTCATGTAAACAATGAAAACACAATTGATAATTTTAATATGTGGCCACGTAATGAAACATGAACTTGCACGAATTAACGAGGATACAAAATTAAATTTAGCAGAACGTGAGCGTAGTTCGGTATAAACGAGACATCGTTTAACACAGCTCAATATTTCAGACAATTCAATTTTGGACATGTGCCTATGTTTTGTTTACGATGGGAGAAACGATATTTATTACGTCGGATCTTAGGGAGAGCGATTCTCCCATTCTGTGCTCACAAACCGGATCGAAATTAGTCCCATATTCATCTTTAGGAGTATATTTCGAACGCTAGAAGTCGATTCTAGTTCCTAAACACGGGTTTATGGGCAGAATCTTTGAAAGCCAGCCAACTGGAACATGATATCCAGAATAACATGAATATGTAGCTAAAACATGTTAATGAACGTTCCCGCTAAACATGTCAAGTTTTTGAGGTTACTGACGCAACCACCAATGAAGGTCGAAGCGATACTTAATTGTGTTAATATAAAACAGATCTATCTACAATTATAGCGCACTCACGCGATAGTGAAAGTTGCGTCATGGAAACAGATAACAGAAATACTGACCACTTAGATGTACGAGAAAATTTGTATTAGATATTCCATAAGATTATCATAATAAGCGCATGAGTGGCACAGTTGCACGATGTGGAGAAATGTCTGCACGTTCGTCTTGAATGGACTATGGACAGGTGAAAGATGGACGAAATCTGTTGAAGCGAACCCGTTGGAGTAGGGTCGACTTGGATTGATTGGATTCGACGCCAACGTAGCGAACGAACCGGAGTGTCGCGTGTCCCATTCAGTATTTATATTCAAGAGCTTCCTCGAAGTTGATCGTCTTCATCTTATCTTACACTATTAAGTAAGAAGAAGCTAGTTTCAAGTAGAACACAATAGACCTCACAAGTAGAAAAAAAAAGATATAAAGTAGAGTTTAAGGTACCGTCAGTTGGAATTAAGTATTTAGTAAGGTAATTGGATAATTAACTTAGGCGAGAACAGACATAAAAACCTGTATTGTTAAACAGTTAAAAATAACTACACTTAATAAATATCAGCAGAAGTATTATCAATAAAAACAGCGACGTCGACATACATACAAAAGCGATGGAATTCCACAGATCTGCCAACGTAAACATTGCAAGTACACACGGAAAATCACAATAGTGGGTATGTACAGATGGGTAAAATTTTCAAATCACAACGGAATTATATGGAAATATTTCAGGGGAGGGTACCGGAACGCGTTTGCTCCCTCGCTCGCGTCACACGCACTGGTTCAGCTTTAGGAGATGCCAAATCCTCACGCAACACCTACATGCAAAGCAGAGCTATTTACATATCATTGATAAACAACCAATGCGCTATCACTGCGCAATAAGGTTCAGAATGCATCCGCATATTTTATATTTTTTGCGCGAGATCCAATTCAAATACTCGGTATTTTACAAGTTTAATGATGAAGATTGATGCGCAGATTTTCTTGTTAGTTTACATTGCGGTGAGTATACACAAATATGTATTTTGTAACAAAAACAAAATAAACAAATATTTGTCGGATGCAATATGATCATCATTACAAAAAGTCTTTTACTAAAATATATTTTTGTAATGTGAGGGACTTTTTCTGTATTCAATCAGGTGTTAATTAGAGAAAATGTTTGTCATCCAGCAACCCTGCCAACTCTGCCAAGTGCTTATGTTTCTAAAATTGTATAAATATTGAAGACAAAAATGTAAATAAGAATGCTCTTGGCCTGAAATGATAATCACTACATAGTATAAAATAAAGTCACTTACTCTGTCCCTATAACCAGTCATGGTATGCTCTAAAACTAAGGAATGGATTCTGATGCAGGTCTTTTTTAATAGATTTAGTGATTGGAGAGGAAGGTTTAAATGTATAATAATATCCCTTAAATAGTAAACAAATTAGTATCAGTATTGCACTGGTGCAGGTCATCATTTGTATATAAGGCATCACTAACTATTCTTGAAACAAAGGCAATTGTCCTATGATGAGAACAACTGTAGGGTAAGGAGCCATTTAAAAAGACTGTGTGAAGACCTGCAAGTCTAGTCTCATCTATCTTCCAATGGATTTTAATTTCCATATCCAAGGTGATATAAGTGTTAAAGTGTTTCCCTGAGAATCTTAAAAACCAATAGTTCCATTATGATCTGGTTCAATTTCTCAATTAATGAAAGGATGTCATTACTACTCACACATGATCCTTATCCCAAAAATAATATCAGCAGTGACATAATGACCTTGAAAAATGCACATAGTTCAGTAGGTAACAAAAACACCTATTTGAATGCAAAAACTTAAGTGTTTACTCAAACTAAGATGGAGATAACATTAAAATTATAATCTCTTAGAAATGCGCAGTTTGAATGTATTGTACAACCATCAATTTCTATACAAAACTGATCATTCAATTTTCATATGAATAGAGGCTCGGAGACCATTGTTGAGATGTTAACATGAATGCAGTATGATAATCAACTTGAATAGAACTGTAGATACATGGAGGAAATGCATTTATGATGCTACAGATGTAGAAGAGATAGGTAGCAAGTAATATATTATTTGTTTTCTACAAGATTATGTAGCTAACAGAATACAGTGTCTTGATTATAAAAGCTTTAAAGAAATATATGCCACAATTTACTTAAAAAATATACATATTTATTTAAGAGCAAACAAATAAGTAGGTTTTATACCTCACCATATTTTTTTCTTAATAGTGCATTAAAATATTGTTTCAGCGGTTTGATAGCAGTGATACCATGGCCTCACAGAAAACTGGTGTGAAACAACTACAGCTTTGTGACTGACATTACCGGAGGCCCAATCCCTACCCCAGTATTTTATATTTACAAATAATTGAAAACCTATCAACAAGACTTTATCACTTTATATTCTAATTTAAAGGAGACTTCAGTACTGATTTGAAAAAGTAGTTACATAGAAAAATTACACAATCATGACACATACATATGAAGAAAATTTGATAATGTGTCATATTTAAAAGATAATAGATTTGTTATCTTGTAAACAGCATTTTTTATTTATATTGTCATTTAGTATTTAAGTTTAATAAAGAACTGACAATCAGACAGATATTGCTACTTGACTTAAAAAAGTGACCACATTAGTCCATTTCTAATCAAAATAAAAACATATTTACTCTTGCACTTTAAGTACCAACAAGAGTAGCTTGCATAATTATGTGTAAACAATCAATTAAAATAACCTAAATTAATATTTGTATGATTACTCAACAACTAAGACACTTAATAATATCCACTAATTTTCCTGGACAAATTATGATTAGACACACACAAGGACTCATGCAAAGAAATCAAATCGAATAGGCGCTTTTTTAAGTTTTTAAGGAGGGAGAAGTCTTATCTAATGGCTTTCCTGTCCTAAGTGAGGCATATGTCAGACTTTGATTGAAAAAGAAATCACCCACCAAACGGCCACGGCTCATTAAGATTTACCTGCAATACTATTGCTTGTTCCTCATATTACATGTTCAAAAACATAACAACATCATCTAAACAGAAGTTCCTTGAGCAGAAATGCAAGCACTGTGCCTATAAAACACCAAATCAGCATTGCTGTGACTATCCTATGCATGTTTGTGTAAAGGGGCCTTACAGACTTTCAAATATTATGTAATACCTTCATAATTTCAGCCATAAATGGTCAGTGCTTAACATTTTATATAGGTATGCTGGTAAACAAGTAAATTCTATGACCATTGCTAGGTGTGCTCTGTTCCTGATCAATACAGAAACACCTTTGTTTGTGGTGCTAGCTTTAACCTTTCAAGTTTCAATTATGGTAATTCGAGATATAATAGCACAACAATAGGTGCGCAAATGTCTTCACTTGGAGTTTGATGAATTAATTCTCTTCAGTCAGGTTTGGATTACATTATCTGGAGACTCTAATAAGATTTTAGACTCTATGCTTCTATTATTGAATTTTCAACACAGTTTAACTGAAAAGGTCCTGTTCCACCTTCATATAAATGTGCTATAAACTTACTTATATGACATACAGTCTACAGAAATGATGTTGTCTTAATAACTATCCAGAAATTGTGAACTACCTAAGTCCTTAAAAAATGTTTATTGCTGGGCAAAGTCTAGTTGGATTACCAATCAATGAAGGCATGAAGTGTATAGTTTCATTAGCTTCCTGCATATTAGATATTTAAGGTTTATGAATTCAGTTGCTGTATGAAATTGCTTTCTTCCAACTGTTCACACTATTGAAGTCACTGGACGAGGCCTACATACAGGAGTACCTTTTAGCTGCCATGTTGAAAACATAATGCTCTACGAGTTCTAATTCATTATTGTGATTTACAAATAGTCATAAACATATGATATTTAATATTTAAGATGTTTGCCACAGAGCTATTAGTAAGTAGTATTCATCTGCTGCAGTGTCAAAGTACAGCTCAATGTCAATATTATTATTTTTATCATGCCACTTTATTCATTGCACTAGATCAGTTATTACCTTAAAGATCTACTAGCACAGATAATAATAAAAGTTACCATAAATTTCTTGAAAGAAGTGGTAGCTAAGGATATAGTGTTTTCCTCAATGGATTTAAAGGATACACAGCCTTGTGACTTTTTTTATTAATAAAAAGTACTAACTAATAAGATCTTGGACTATGATTTGAGTAAGTTTATGGAGTTAGATACAAAAATAACAGTTATGTTTAGCCAACGGAAAAGTGGTAGGAAATGTTTTAGCATCTCCTTTTATCCCATTAGGTAACCATGTAAAACCAAGGAGGTTAAATAGAAATAAGTTTGGAATCTTATCAAGAGACATGAAATTGCATTAGCAATTATGATTTAATATAGTTTACTTTCAAAAGCAAATGACTAGACATATGAGAATCATTTTCATTCTTATTTCACTGAGAATAGGAAATTGGTTTGCAATAAGAGGTAAATAGGATTGTTTAAAAAATTACTGTACTTAATTACTAACTACTATAGTTACTGTATTTTATCCTGTATGTTTAAAAAAAATATCTTATTGAGATCGAAGTCAATAAAACTAGTTTTATCCAATTTGTAGTTATAACAAGAAATATTCTACGTATAATTTACGATTCTAAGAGTTTTCTTAGCAGATTTTTTTCATTGCCTACGTTGTAAAACAGAAAACATCGGCTCTAACAACTCAAGTGCCAACGGGAAGATAATGTGATCTTGCAAATTACATTATAAACAACTTACCTCGGGCTCACTGTCGCCGTTTTTGTTTTTATCAATTTTAGTCTTCATCGCCTCCTGCGAACAACAGCTTCCACTGAAACCCTCACAACACACTCTAATTTGCTTCAACACACTAATATGCGGAGATTTTACACACGTAAATTATGCACCACCGCATACCATAAACGAACTGACTGACATGGCATAGTAGGTAAGGTATTACGACGATGGAAGCGTAAAATGCCGACAACGTTAACTAACGTTTTTTTTTATATGGATGTCAATAAAATAATTTTGGCCATTTAATTTTTTTCTTTCATTTTTAAACTCACCTTTTCTTTTTTCGGCATATTTAAATTATTATTTAAAGCCCTAAATACAAGTTTTTGATAACATTCGCGTGGAGAGTTTACATTTTAGTTGTCAAATACAGCGCTCTGATTGGTTGGATGATCACGTGACTTCATTGACGTTGCAGTTAGTGATGTGACAATTACAAGTATTTTGTCGATTAAATCTTAATCAACAATAAAAATCGATAAGTTTTATATAAGTATTGCTTCTTCCGAAGTAAAATTTTTTATTTCGAATTCAACACAACAGGTAATTTTAACACAAAAGTTTAAAATAAGAAGACCGTACATTTTAGTACAGTTGACATTATAGCACTTTGGTCTAAGAGGTGGCGGATAAAGACGTATCTACGTTGAACTGGTTTTTATAAATAAATTATCAGCGCCGCGTATTGAGGGTTCACAAGTAAATTGCAAGCCTTCTAAGAAGGAGCGTCGCTTATGGTATCTGCTTAATTATCAATATTGTACTTAACATTAACAAAATCGCGATTAAATCAACACTAAGAATAAGAAATAAAAAATTAAATACTTAAATAGTGACATAAGCCCTATTTCTAAGAAATATTTCAACGCTTGATCCTTTTTTAGAAATCTGAGCTACACGCGCCGGTGTCTTCTTCTCCGTTCCACAGTTACAAATATTATACATATTCGGCAGAAAGTAGGTACTTTTCGGATCACCACAGACGGGGCCCAGAGTAGACGGAGGGGGGGGGGGGGGAGTTATACTCTGAAGTAAGGATCTAACCACGGAGTAAGAACAAAGATCTAACACTCCCTCGCGCCCGAAGAAGTCATTATGATTTCCACTCACAAAAAAGGTACTTTTCGAATAGTGATGACGGTACACTTAACTTTTGACATGACTCCTACTTTTCCTGTGAGTATAGTCAGTTTGTGGCTTAAATAAATAAACGATCTTTGCATTATGATCGATTTCTAACATCGGATGTATTAAGTTACAGTGAAACATAAAGTTCTAACCAGAGAAATAAAAGGGTGTCAGTCAAAATAACTTTATTACCTACTTACAGGTAAACTATCAATAAGAGAACTGAAACTGAACGAAATAAAATAAAATAACTGCTTTATTATTTTTCTTTTTTCTGCTTCTTATTAGCATTTTTAGACTTGCGAGGTCTAAATGGCCCAAGTTCTAAGCGTACAAGTAAACCACGCCACCAAGCCTGCAAGATTATCGCCGATTTTGTCATTTTCTCACGGTAAGCACGTATCCTCTCTCGTTCTTCTTTAAAGTCTTTCCAAAGCTGCATTTGTAATTTATGTTTCTCCAACTGTAAAAAGACATGTACGAATCTACTTTTAGAGGTATGAGGAACAGGGTGGAAAGTTCCTCATCCTCCATTGAAAAGGGAGGATCCTCCGACCAGGCGAGGTGTTCGTGCCTGGTGGGCTACTGCCCGACGGTTGTTGTCGGGATATCTGTATGGGTGCTAATTGTGTTGATAACTCTTATAGCGCGATGTAGACTCTTGCTCGTGATTGGTGCTGTTGTTTTATGTAGTGCGCTAGATGTCGCTACATCACTCCCCTCCGAGACCGGAGGTCGTTAGCTGGTTGAGACGTCTGTGATATGCTTGTCGAGCCAGTTGATGATTTCAGTGCGTCGAATCTGTCTGCGAAGATGCCCCAGTGAGTCGGGTGGTGCAGTGCTGAAGAGTGGCTAGCTGCTGCGTCGACCAGGAGAGGGAGTACGTCTCTGCTTGCTGACCGGCCGGTGCAGTATGCTGTGCCGAAGTTGCTGATGAGGCTGTAGGTGCTGACCAGGAATGCGCGTCGGCTGCATGCTGGTGGTCAGGAAACCCGTTGTAGCCGTGGATGCTGGCTGACTGTAGACTCGCTGCTTGAAAGCTCGAGGAAGTGATGACGTCATGGCTATGATGTAGTTGCACGAAGGCTGCGTTGATGTTCATGCTCGGGGTCACCAATTTAGAGGTATGAGGAACAGGGTGGTAAGTTCCTCATCCTCCATTGAAAAGGGAGGATCCTCCGACCAGGCGAGGTGTTCGTGCCTGGTGGGCTACTGCCCGACGGTTGTTGTCGGGATATCTGTATGGGTGCTAATTGTGTTGATAACTCTTATAGCGCGATGTAGACTCTTGCTCGTGATTGGTGCTGTTGTTTTATGTAGTGCGCTAGATGTCGCTACATACTTAATAAAGCTGTCATGTTGGTTAAATTTCTGTTGAGTTTTAGTCTTTGCAAGTGGCAAAGTGTCTTTACTACTCAACTACATGGTTTATTGATTGTGATGTGGTATAGATACATATAATCTCAATTATGAGTGGGGAATAGCCAATCTGCCTTAAGCCAGATTGGAGGCGATTAATGTTCATGCCTTCTCTGTGTACTGATGATGATAATTGAAGGGTGTAGGTAATGTTGCACAGTAACCACCACCAAAATACAATCATAGTAACCGTTTCTTCTAGATGTACTCTTTTGTCACGCATGTTCTGGTATTCATTTTTCTTTATTTGAATATTAAGATCAATTGCTTCCATATCTTTATCATATTTTTCCATCCACGACTCGATGCGTTGTAATATTTCCTTAAAATAAAATTATCTATATATAGGTATGTATACCAATTTAAAATAAATTTAAATATGAAATTGTTTTAACACTCAAGCCCATGCAGTTATGAAAACTATCTATTTAATACAAATATTATCATTAACATCCAGACCATAACAATAAAAGATACTATTAAATGTCAGTTCATAACTGATAAAAATAACCTCACTAATAAAATATCATAAATATCTTGCTAACGTTAATATTAATTGAGACCAGACAATCCACTTCCATGTGAATTCTTATTTCATGTTCGTTTTTTCGTTTGTAAAATTCAATGGCTGATGCTGGCTTGTTTTCAGTTTCATAAATAATTTGATTATGTTGTGACATCCTTGCTCGTTGCCAGTTATCTACGTAGCGACTGCGTACTTCAGTGAACAAATCAGAATCCTAAAGAAAATATAAGCGCTCGTTAAAGATAATCGTTTATTTCATAAGAGTGCCTTAATCAAGACTATCACTTATTCCACCAAGACGATCACTCAATCACCGTTGACACAGTGGCTGGGCAACTGGTTGCAGTGCACTGTGCAACATGTCCCTGTTTCTATTCCCGCTTGTATCAAATATTTATGTGATCCCACGAACTGTTTTAATAACAACAAAGACAACACTAAAGTAAATAGAAACTTACTTCTACTTGGGTTCTCAATTTATCAATAGAAGCGTCGGTATCATACAAAACCGTTTTTATATGATTACGTTGCTGTCTCACTTGTTTGATCAATTCCTTTCGAAGACTAAAAAAGAAAACGTAGGTATAACTAATCAAGGATACTTATAAAAAATAGAATAAAAAGAAAATACTAACATCTTATTTTTATTATGTTCTTCTGCTATTTGTAAACGGTATGCATCCAACTCCAAAATTGAATTGATACATTTTGAAAGTGGTTCAAAGCTTTGGTTTTGTGCCAATGATAAGTACGTAGCCGTTACGACATTAGTCAAAAATGTCCTGGGAAATAATAGCATGTTGAAAACTATAGTCGCAGACAGCCAATAAAAGTGTCATTTACGGTAACCTACAGTTTACAGTTATCAATAAATTTTACCTGTCCTTATCAAGCTTTTTAATCTTATAAATCATATTGTTCAGATTTTGAAGGTTAATTCGATTGAGTTCATCGTCTTTCTCATTCCTGATACGCACATTATATTTTATAGCCCTCAAATCGTCCATATCCAGCACCGTCTTTTCGATTTTCAAACTACTGTTGTAATTATCTAAAATTAGGTACAAATTAGTTTGAGTCAAGTTAATGACTGTCGCTCATATGGCAATACTTAGGAAAAACGAATAATATTTAAATAATAGAATTATGGCACAGTTGTCTATGTTATGTTCTATGTCTCCAGACAGGTGGACTGACGACATCCGCAGGGTGGCTGGCAGTGGTTGGATGAGAAGAGCTGAACATCGAGCTCAGTGGCGTGCAATTGGGGAGGCCTATGTCTAGCAGTGGACGACAACAGGCTGATGATGATGTCTACGTTATCCTCAAAGGTACAAGAATAAACTGAAAGAGCATACCAAAATCACTAAGTACAGGGCTGTATTGTTTTGCAAAAAAAAAAAACAAAAAATAAAGATAATACCCAAAATCCGTGTTTGTACCAAGACGTCCTCAAAAATAGTGGCAAAACAAGCTGAGAACAGGAAGGGGAACCTATAAAATATACGTTTAAAATTCACAATACATTTTATTTGTAAAAGCACAAAAAATAATAATACAATGATGATACCTATTCTCCACAACAGATTCTGAAATGAATACTTTAAAGACTTCCGGAATTGCTAACATCGACTGGCTCACATTAGATCCATTAAAATTTGAGCTTGATCCCTACGAGAAAAAATAAACAAGCGAAATACGTTTGAAATACGAACTATTTCGATTCTTTCTAGTTAACTGTCGATATCGATTCCTTAAGGACAATTATAATAATTGACAGCACTACGAGTGATACAATGTTCTTAACATATAAGGTATTATGTTTTCTACGATATATATACAGATATTAGATATTTTTTGCTGAAAACTGATATATAATTATATATGTTTCCAGTCCAGTTAGGGACCTACAACCCTGCACATTAATCGAAGTCGTCCCATCCGTGGAAGCAAAGCTAAGAACTACCTACTCTATTTTGCGAGAGGAAAATCATGAAATGACTTTTCCTGCCCAGATTGAGGCGAATGGGAGTCTCAGACTCTTACTGACTTCAAACCCCTCAAAACCTTCTGCTCCAGGCTGTGGCCACGATTATCGCATTGAGCTTGCCCTGCAACGCCGGCGGAACATCGGCCCGAGCCCCGTCTGTAGTGGTCTATTGGATCTTCGAGGCTCACGCGGAACGCTATGCACCGTACGCTCGGGTCTGGTTTTGGTTGACGGGCGAGTTACCCTTGCTCGCCATCTGCAGATCTGAGCTTATGGTGGCCAGAGATCGTCAGGCAATCCCCGATGCCCGGAATGTCTCCTACTGCAGTGACTGGGGCGTAAGGAGAATAGTTGACTCTGGCTCTCCGCCATCTTCTTTGCGAGCATTAGGTACCGCAATGCAGAAAGTTGAGACGGCTTCCCATTTTCTGGGCCAGAAGGCGAGGCGGGGCTCACTAGCTCTTTGCTAAGATTGCGTAATTCATCAAAAAGTGCGTTTAGCTAGACTGGGTCATATTTTAAAATATGTACGAACCTTTTCCTCTGAATCATAATTATACACCGTTCCACGACCTGTATCAGAAACACCATCCAGTATAAGATGCAGCCGTCCGGCGTTAGAAACCTCCATTTTCAATAATAAATAAATCGATCACTTAAAACAAATATATATCGTAATATTTCCTTAATTTAAAAACGTATTTGTGTTTGGAAAGCTGCAATTGCAATAAGTAGGACAGAATTTTAAACCCCGTAATCCTCTCAGTTTTTGCCCAAACTCTGTGACAAACGCTTCTAGTGACATCACTAGAATCAACAAAATTGGACCCAGACCGTCAGACGGACCACTTTTAGTCATATGGCATAGTGCAGACTCTTTGTAAAACTATACATATTATACTTTTTGGAGAAAGAGACTGTAGATTCATTACGACATCACATTAGTCAAGTTTATCTGTTCGGACTTACGGGTACTCTGCAACTAAAAAGCCAAAAGTATGATTGAAATCCTAAAACCAGTCTTAAGTAGGTATATATATAAACATTTTCGAAGTTTAAAAAGGTTTGATTGTTAGGGAGGTAAGTAAAAGCATTTCTAAAAAGGTTAGGTTGACTTCAAAATTCAAATGTGTGTGGAAAAATAACATGACCGAAAGTTTTTAGGGTCCCGTAGCTACACAATATATTTAAGATTCCGCTATCGCTATCGTGTATGCGTATGTAAAACTAAAATATAAAAGAGGGATTCCCATCGGGCTCGCTGATATCTTAGCGGTAAGACCCTTATTTGAGGAGAGGAGTAGGTAAGAGGTAATGCCGTCTTCACCTTCTACCACGCAGGTGCTTACTGGACACGGACCTGGAGGAGGTGATACCTACCTATTTCGAATGCAGTGGAAGGAAATGACTATAAATAGGTGTTTTTACTGTAAGGACCACGTGTAGGACATGATGGAGCATACGGTGTGAACGTCTTGGGTTAAGCACGGTCGTGTCCTCATGAAAATGATGAATGATGAACAGCCATGGTGACCCATTGCGCTAGGTCTTAGTCGAGCCTATGGCTATGGTGCGGAGTGAGAGGAACTGGGAAGCCGTCTCCTTCTGTGCGATAAGAACTATCCTCCTCAAGCCACAGCTGCCGCAAGCGACACCCCGGTCGTAGGAATTGGGCGATCTCCGGCCACCGTAAATGCAGGCGACGAGTAAGGGTAGCTTGCTGCCCTACCGGAGTCGGACTGTTGCGTATGGAACGTCGCGTTCAGCGCATGCTTCAATGAACCAGTAGACAACCACTTCAACCACATATAGTGTTTGATAGGTCTGATATTCAGCCGGAGTGCGAGGGCAAGAGCAATAGTCTAACAAAACAGGAGCCACATGATGATAATACCTCTAGCCCAGGGCGCGAAAAGTCACGACCCTTCGAAATCTTGTATTGTTTGTGCCTTCATTTTATTAAATTCAGTTATTAAATCACTTCAAAAAAACAAAATTATAGTAACTTCTAGATTCTTTTAATAATTTATCTAAACTTAAAATAATTAAAAATTATGATTAAATTAACAAAGCTAAAATATAAATACATTTAAAATTAATATTAAGCACTAAATATATAGGTAGTAATAAAAACATAATATTAAAGAAGTTTTAAGGCCTAATACGATTAGGGATGTCAAAAAGCAATATCGACAATTTTATCGATGTTTAGAAACATCCGCTGAGAAACCAAAATTTTTCTTTTTTTGTTAACGCAATGTGACGGAAAAGTGGTTCAAACTCTTTGACATCATGACGTCAATGGATGGTTGTCAAACGTTGCCTAGAGATTGTAAATTTCGTCGTGAATTGTCAACACGAGTTGGTGTAATCGGTAAGGCATGTGGATTACACCAGAGAGACCCCGAGTTCGAGTCCCGCCGTAAGCATGAAGTTTTTTAGTTGATGGAAGTTTTTGTGGAACTTTCTGGAAGCTTTTGGCGTGAAAGTAATGAAAAATCAAAGAGCGAGAAGGAGAATAAATAAAAATGAATAACGAAATTATTGGAAGATTCTGGAGTCATGACAATCAAAAAGAATAACGAAATTGAATGTTCCAGAACCTGACCGGGGGTATATAAGCGGAACTGCGGCTCACCGCTGGCAGTTGTGTTCTAAGTCTAAAGCGATTCGGAAGAAAAGGAAGAAGTGAAAAAGAAGAAAAGTGAGTGAAATAGTGAAGTGCAGTGAAATAGTGAAGTGCAGTCAGTTAAGTGAGTTAAGCCAGCGTGAACGGCAAAGTTGTGTCAGTCGGCCGGGCTCTGCTGGAGAGGAACGCCGATAACTTAACTCCGTGGACGCTGTAACTTAAGTGCAATAGAAAGTCTGAAAACCGGTATTAGTGTTTCATTTCATCCAATCCCGTTACCCAAGCCCGCATAGTCAGGAACGTGACGTCAGGCACGTAACATTTGGTGTCAGAAGTGGGATTGGAGAAAAATGCCGCTAGTACCGCAGGACGTAAGAGGAGTGAGTACCCGTGCTATGTCAGAAGCGCAGCGTGTGAGGGAAGAGGGTGCTGCAGCTCAAACCAGCGATGCAGAAGCCAAGCCTGTGCAGGTGGATCTTCTGCTACAGCTGCAGCAAATGATGGCAGAGCAAGCGCGCCGCCAAGAAGAGCAAGCGCGCCGCCAAGAAGAGCAAGCGCGCTGTCAGGCAGAACAGCTGCGGGAGCTGAAAGAAGAGCAAGCGCGCCGCCAAGAAGAGCAAGCGCGCCGCCAAGAAGAGCAAGCACGCTGTCAGGCAGAACAGCTTCGGGAGCTGAAAGAAGATCAAGCTCGTCGCCAAGAGGATCAAGCTCGCCGCCAAGAGGAGCAAGCGCGTCGCTTGGAAGAGATGCACAGGGATTTCACGAAGGGACTGCAAAAGGCTGTCGAACGGGTACAAGAAGTGGAGGAAGGGTTAGGCAAGTTGGAACATCGCGTCATGGCGATAGAGGAGAGAGTGAAAGAAGAGATCTCCAAAATCAAGCAGGAAGTGACAAGCCCAAGCCCTTTGAAGAGCCGAAGCCGTCTTGCAGCCGTTTTTGACGCCCCAAATGTGGCCTCAAGCGCAACGAAAGGGCTCAAGATTCCCCATTACGACGGAACAACATCCTGGAACGCGTTCAAGCTACAGTTTGAGACACTTATGGAGGCTTATGGTTGGACTCAGAAGGAAGCACAGTCAGCCCTCACCCTGGCCCTCCGTGATCAAGCGCTCTCAGTGCTGGAAGCTATCGGCGCAAGTGGGGATCTTAGCTTAAGTGCCCTCCTCGACGCACTTGAGGCACGTTTTGGAGACAGCCACCTCGAGCACGTGTACAGAGCGCAATTAAAAGAGCGTACTCAGCGTGCTAATGAGAGCCTACAGCAATGGTCCGTGGAAATCGAGAAACTTGTGCGTCGAGCTTTCCGGTCGACTCCGTCAATGATTGAAGGCACGCTTCTCCAAGCGTTCATTGACGGTATTCGGGACCCCGAAGTACGAGCTGCTGTTCATCTGGGCCATCACAAGAACATGAAAGAAGCTCTGGCCCATGCATTGGAAGTGGAAGCTGTGCGTGGTAACTCCCGTACCTTATGTCTGCGGGAAATGACGACTACGGAGCAGGTACCTCCACGCCGTCGGAACTTCATGTGCTATGGATGCGGAGAGCGTGGGCACATGCGGAGCAACTGCCCGAAGAAGGTGAACCGCCAGGACGCGGCGGTCTCAACTTCTGACCAGCAGGGAAACTAATTCCAGCCAGGGCTGCGGGGTGGGCGCTGGCCGATAGTGGAATAACCCCAACAATCTACATCAAGCAAACTAACGATGGAAATACTCTGGTGATAGACGGTCAAGTAAATGGGAAAAACAGTCAGCTAACGTTAGATACTGGAGCTTCAAGGACGGTGATGAATGTTCGGCTGCTTGGGCAAAACATCAGGAAACACCTTAAACCAATTGTTGGCCTACGAATGAAATCAGCTACCGGCCAGCGCATACCGATAAGTGGAAAACTGCACGTAACAATCAAAATTGGGGAACGTGTTTATCGACATGAGGTTATTGTGGCCAAAATTCTGGATGACTGCATCCTGGGACTTGACTTCCTGCAAGGGCACCAGTGTAACATCGACTTAAAAACTGGAGTATTACTATGTGGAACTGAGGAAATTCCGATGAAGGGTGGAACCCTGGGAAAAGTTTGCTGTTTAAAAAGAACTGTTCTTGCACCAAAATCACAGACTCTCGTACCAATTGCATTACCTAGGAGGAGGGAAGGAAGTTTACCTCGAAGGTGCGCTGTGATTGATAAATCGGAACACGTAAACTCATGGCTACCGGCAAGAACTGTCGTGGGGTCATCTGATGTCAACCGCATTCCGGTATTCAACTTCAGTGATTCAAAAATTACGATTGAAGAAGGAGAGCCTGTGGGCGTATTGGAAGAAGTGGCCTGGATAAGAAAATGCTCGGAAAATCTTGTGAAGAAGGACAGTGCGGGAATAGACTTTGTAACGAAAATCTTAGACGAAAACAAAAGTCTGACAAAAGTGGAGACTATGAAAGCTAGAAATTTACTTCTTCGATTCTCTGATGTGTTTTCAAGAAGCGATGGTGATATTGGCCGAACTGGTTTGGTGAAGCATAAAATAAACACAGGTGATACAATGCCAATTCGTCAAAGGCCCAGACGTATACCATTCGCTCGTGAGAAAGAGGTTGAACAAATGATTGACGATATGAGGAAAAATGACGTGATAGAGCCCTCTTCTAGCCCTTGGTGTTCACCTGTCGTGCTTGTCAAGAAGAAAGATGGTTCAACGAGGTTTTGCGTAGACTATCGACGATTGAATGATGTAACCAAGAAGGATAGCTACCCGTTACCAAGAATCGATGACACACTTGACACACTGAGTGGCATGAAATGGTTTTCAACGCTCGATCTGAAAAGCGGCTATTGGCAGGTGGATTTGGATCCTAAGGACAAGGAAAAGACCGCATTCTCAACTGGGAAGGGACTCTGGCAATTTAAGGTGATGCCATTTGGATTATGCAATGCACCGGCAACCTTTGAGCGTTTGATGGAACAGGTGCTGGCGGGACTACTGGGCGAAACCTGCCTAGTTTACCTCGATGACATCATCATTGTTGGACGGGATTTTGATGATCATCTCAGGAAATTGGAAAGGGTACTCGAAAAGCTGCGTGGAGCAAATTTAAAGTTGAGTCCAAAGAAATGCTCTTTCTTCAAGCGCGAAGTGAATTATCTAGGACATGTTATTTCTGAGAGAGGAATTGAGACTGATCCAGCCAAGACTGTCGCTGTTAAGGAATGGCCAACACCTAAAGACAAAACGCAAGTTCGAGCATTTCTTGGATTGTGCTCGTATTATCGGCGGTTTGTGAAAGGATTCTCAGACATTGCCAAGCCATTGCATCGATTGACAGAGGAGAAACGTGCCTTTATATGGGACGAGGATTGTGAGCAAGCCTTTCGAGAACTAAAAGAACGGCTTTGTAACACACCAATTCTCGGATACCCCAGCGCGAAAGGAATATTCGTAGTTGATACGGATGCCAGCAATATCGGAATAGGAGGTGTCCTTTCACAACGCGATGGTGAGCAGGAGAAGGTTATTGCTTACTTCAGCAAGTCACTATCCAAGCCGGAGAGGAATTATTGCGTGACCAGGAGGGAATTGCTGGCCGTAGTCAAAACTCTGCACCATTTCAAGAAGTATTTACTGGGACGGAAATTTTTGATCAGAACTGATCACGCTGCTTTGAAATGGCTGCTTCAGTTTAAGGATCCCGAAGGCCAAGTAGCCAGATGGTTGGAACAACTTCAGGAATTTGACTTTGAAATCGAACATCGCGGCGGAAGAATTCATGGCAACGCAGATGCATTATCGAGACGCCCATGCGTGGAAGATTGCAAGCATTGTGCCAAGAAGGAAATTGCTTTTCTTAAGGTGATAAGGACTGATACTGTTGACGAGGCATGGGGAGATGATGCGATGAAATTAGAACAGGAAAGAGATGCGGATATCAAACCAATACTGGAGTGGCTACGAAGTGGTAACAAGCCAAGTTGGAGTGACATCGCCCAATATAGCGCGGTAACGAAAGGTTTATGGGCACAGTGGAAAAGCCTTACGCTGCATAACGGACTTCTGTGCAGGAAATGGGAATCAACAAACGGCAAGGACGAGCATTTGCAATTGGTGGTGCCTCGTTCAAAAATAAGGGATGTATTAAAAGCGTTCCATGATGGATCTTCTGGAGGACATTTGGGAATTAGGAGGACTTTGGTGAAGATCAAGGAGAGGTTTTATTGGTTGCATTGCAAATATGATGTCGAAGATTGGTGCCGGAAATGCACTAGTTGTGCAGCTGTCAAGGGTCCACAAACAAGAAGCAGGGGGGCGATGAAAATCTACAATGTTGGTATGCCTTGGGAGAGAATAGCCTTAGACATCGCTGGACCATTTCCAATCACTGATTCGGGCAATCGCTACGTTTTAGTGGTTATGGATTATTTTACAAAATGGCCGGAGGTCTTTGCCATACCGAATCAAGAGGCAGTAACTGTAGCCACGAAGTTGGTAAACGAGGTATTCACCCGATTCGGAGTGCCCTTGGAGATGCACAGTGATCAAGGACGGAACTTTGAATCTCAAGTTTTTCAGGAAACTTGTAAACTTTTGGGAATCCATAAGACTCGAACGACCCCTTATCATCCACAGTCAGATGGAATGGTCGAACGTTTCAACCAAACATTGGAGCGACACTTAGCAAAGGTGGTTGACAGCCATCAGAGAGATTGGGACACTTACATACCTCTCTTCTTGCTTGCCTATCGGACTGCTGTACATGAAAGTACCGCAAAGACGCCTGCATTTGCAAATTTTGGAAGGGAATTGAGATTACCGGCAGATCTTGTATCGGGCTGTCCACCTGGCGACACTCGCACCGAATTTAGCGATTACATAAGCGAGTTAAGGGCAAAAATGTTGGACATTTACGAGCAGATCAGGGAGGCCGGTCTTCAAGCTAGTGATCGCGCAAAAACGCGCTATGATCGACGAGCCAATTCTGTTGGGTTTGAAGAGGGGTCACTGGTCTGGCTTCATAATCCAGTCAGAAGGAAGGGAAAATCTCCGAAGCTGCAACCGAGTTGGGAAGGTCCTTATGAGATAGTCACGAAGATCAATGACATTACTTACAGAATTCGGAAGACTTCAAGGAGCCCTTTGAAAGTTGTCCATATAGACAGGTTGGCGAGGTATTACGGCAGCAACGATGCTCGGGACGAGCGAATCTAAGAGGGGGGCAGTGTGACGGAAAAGTGGTTCAAACTCTTTGACATCATGACGTCAATGGATGGTTGTCAAACGTTGCCTAGAGATTGTAAATTTCGTCGTGAATTGTCAACACGAGTTGGTGTAATCGGTAAGGCATGTGGATTACACCAGAGAGACCCCGAGTTCGAGTCCCGCCGTAAGCATGAAGTTTTTTAGTTGATGGAAGTTTTTGTGGAACTTTCTGGAAGCTTTTGGCGTGAAAGTAATGAAAAATCAAAGAGCGAGAAGGAGAATAAATAAAAATGAATAACGAAATTATTGGAAGATTCTGGAGTCATGACAATCAAAAAGAATAACGAAATTGAATGTTCCAGAACCTGACCGGGGGTATATAAGCGGAACTGCGGCTCACCGCTGGCAGTTGTGTTCTAAGTCTAAAGCGATTCGGAAGAAAAGGAAGAAGTGAAAAAGAAGAAAAGTGAGTGAAATAGTGAAGTGCAGTGAAATAGTGAAGTGCAGTCAGTTAAGTGAGTTAAGCCAGCGTGAACGGCAAAGTTGTGTCAGTCGGCCGGGCTCTGCTGGAGAGGAACGCCGATAACTTAACTCCGTGGACGCTGTAACTTAAGTGCAATAGAAAGTCTGAAAACCGGTATTAGTGTTTCATTTCATCCAATCCCGTTACCCAAGCCCGCATAGTCAGGAACGTGACGTCAGGCACGTAACAGCAAGAACACCACAGACGGTCATCAGTTTAGTAATAACTGCAAAGTGTGATTCTGATTACAGATTTATTTAACGAAAACGATATAACTATTTTTTCTTTTTCCCTTTCTTATCGTCTGGCAAACCGCGTGGCTTCTTCTTGGGTTTGAATGGGCCTAGTTCGAGTCGCACAAGCAAACCACGCCACCATGCTTGTACAATAATGGCAGACTCGGTCATCTTCTTCCTGTACTGCAGTGCCTTCTCACGGTCAGATTTGAATTGCTTCCATTGTTCCATTTGATCTTCGTGGCGGGCCAGCTAGAGGTAAAAAGATAAGCAAAATAATATAAAATACTCTTACTAATAAAATTGCAATTGGTGGGTATCCTACTTATAATCAGAACTGCTAAAGAGTAGAATTCTTTGCCCGTGTCTGTGTTTCCCGGAAGGTAAAAACTGGATCCCATCAAGGTGCGGGTGAATAGGTTACTAATGGGTAGGCGTGCTCCATCATAGGGCCTATCATCACTTACCACCAGACGTGACAGCAGCCAAATACCTGCCCATTATTAAATAAAATAAAAAAATGCTAAGTATAGGAAAAAGTGAAGAAAAAATTTACTATAAACTAGCGGCAATTAAATTAAAAAGGTTAATCTAATTAAGTAGTTGGATTTATAAAATACTATAATATTTACATCTTCCTCCATTCCCTTCCTCCTGCTGACTTCATCTTGATATTTATTCTTCATTATAGTGATCTGCAAGTCTATTGCTTCCATATCCTTGTCGTACTTGTTCATCCAATTTTCCACCTTCGTGAGAGTCTCCTGCGGGATAGGTAAGTAAATTTTTCCTTGTCAGTCAGTTAGTCTAATAATACCTATTATTTAGGAACTACGAGTATACTTCTTAATAACAAGCCTCCACATAAAATAAATTGATAATTTAGTGGACTTCTTGAATATTTTAAGCACCCAAAAAGATACATAACGCCTAAGGCGTTTTCTTTTAACTTGTGAGTGATACAGAGACAGGTCATGGTAGGTGCAAAAGCTAAAAGAGCAAGAGAAGAAATGTTCTTACACTTATGAATATATTGAATAGCAGTTCAATTTCCGAGTGTACTCTCTGTTCTTGATTACTTCTGTTTCTGTAGTAGTTAATTGCATTGGAAGGGCTTGACTCTTTGTCATCAATAGTTTGGTCGTGTTGTTCAGTACGTGCGCGTTGCCAGTTCGTTATGTACCTTCCTCTGATCTCTGAATTCAAAGCTGCGTCCTAAAAAAATATAATATAATGAAAGTAAGCAGTTTACTTTAAAGCTGTGGGCGCCAACTTAATAGCTCAAAAACCTCAAATGAAGAATACCTATACTAGCGATTTGTAACAACAACCTAAAAATATATTTCTGCCTTTGCTTATGCGCTTCATGCCTTGCGATACGTTTCACATTTGGGTAGGAAAACAGACGTTACAATGTATCACTTAAGGATGATTAGCCTTTTTTGGGCTGCTAATATCATCAAATGGCTTCTTTCGCGCAGGCTGAGGCGAGAGGAAATGAGATTTTCTGCTTCATAAAAGCCCCCGGTCCTTCGCCTGCTTTAAGCCGAGGCCGCGGTACCTTACTCTAGCCCCGTAATTTCGGGTGAACATCGGCTCAGTAGGGCCCTAGCCCCGTTTGTCGTGTCTCGTCTTGTCGTCCGTCCGCGTCAAAAAAGCTAATAGACCACAGCTTTTTTAGCGCGCGCTGTATGCTACGCGCCCTACGCTGAACAGTTAACTTTGTCTTAATTCGAAAATATAAAACTGATAAAAGAAACAGTAGTGGAATAAGTAGCGTATCTTACTTCGATTTTACTCCTAAGTTGATCTATAACAAGGTCTAAATCGTAGGCGACCGATTTTATGTGAATACGCTGTTGCCTTAGTTGCTTCAGCAGTTCACGTCGACAGCTATTAAAATCAAATAAGAAATTAAATGGGTTGCGTTTAATTAATGGGAACTATCAAAGGTATATAATAGGGAATATATACACAAAACAGTTAAGTTATTGCATCTTTAACAAAATTGCTTGGAAGAAAATAAAATAAAAAATCAGTCCAACCAAACCTTCGGCATGTTGGCATGATAAAAAGGAAAATAATTAGATGCTTTTATGTACAAACATTTTGTTTTTGGCTTCTTCTTCAGCGAGATTAAATCTGTATTCATATTGTTCTTCTATTTCCTTGTTGCAATTAATTAGCACATTGAAACATCTGTGCAGACACAACTCTAGGTATGTTTCCTCTAATACATCCTGGAAATATGTTCTGAAATCAAGGAAATTGTGTCAAGTTCTCAGTTGCCTTGGGTATATCTCAGACTACACCAAACTTATTTGTTAAACAGTTATCTAAAACGAATTCTACTCATATTATAAAATAGAAAGTTCGTCGATGAATACACAAAACATGATAATTTAGTTAATAGATGTATCAACAGATAAAATATTTATTGGCGTTGTTCTTTAAGATACCTAATTCAGTATTTAAATTAACAAAAAAAAACCGCCTTCAAAAAAAGTCAAGCGATAAAAGTTCCTACACTAAAAAGTTAAAAATAAAAATTTGAAATACAAGTGTCAAGTTTCGTCACCCATTTCTGATCTTCTTCACCAGTTCCACCTCATCAAATATTACTTTTTGACTGTAAATGCTTGAGTGCTCCATGAAAATGTTAAAATTACAATATAGTTGCCTATAATATTTGAGGAGTTCCCTCGATTTCTCATGGATCCCATCATCAAAACTCGATTTTGAAAAGAATGGGACCAATCTGCATAAAAAAATTTTGCAAATCCGTCTACCACGGAGTTCTGAGGTAACAAACATAAAAAAAATAAAAAAAAAACATACAATCGAATTGAGAACCTCCTCCTTTTTTTGAAGTCGATTAAATAGAACTTTACACAGCATGTAGTAAAGCAGCCAAAGTGAAGGCTTAGCAGTTCTCATAGATAAATTGAAAGATAATTATTTCACATACCTGTCAGCAAAGAGTTTGTCTAACTTATACTGTATATTCCCCAGGTCTTTGGTGTTGATTTTGGACAGATCATCTTTATTTTCGACAGTTTTTATCTGATATTTCTTAGCTCGCAGGATGGCGATGTCAGCCATTGTTTTTATGTAACGCAGCTGGTTATTGCATTCAGCTGTATAAATGTAGATAATGTTATTGTTTTATATAAGTTATCATCACGTGTTTCTAGTACACTACATCTACTTTTGGATTTTGGAGAAACACAGTGGCATGTATGAAACTGATCACCCACTTTTCTTCCGTCAGATGTTGTACTACGTATGTATGTCTGTTGGACTACGTATATGTTAGTCCCATGTAAAAGAGATGCTTAGATATGTAATTGTGTAAAGTTTTCAATTCCAGATTTCGACCGACAGTCGACAGCCGTTAATATTCGAAAGTGCGTAAATTAATAAAAATTACCGTGTTTTGAAAATAAAAATGTCTAATTGTCATTGTCTCAAAATGTTGGTATTTTTCTCTGAAAGTTATGAAATATTTTAGTCACCTTTTTTCTGTAACTTTGAACTGTCTAGAGCTTAACTCCCGCAAGTATGAATTAACAAGAAACCCTTTCCTCAACCGAAGCGCTTGGTGATTGAGACAGTAATACTTATCGCAATTATTATCGATTAAATGTGGGATAAACAGCCAACGAATGGGCCGGCTCCACCACAATCCACACAATCATCCCCCTCACAATTCCATAATCCCCAAAACCTCTTATCCATGCATTTGTAACTCCTCTGGCATTGCAGGTATCTATAGGCGGCACCTATTGATTGCCTTTTGATAATCAATTTGATCGTTTGCGCCATAAGACAAAATCTGATTATTGAAACCATCGGTATCCGGAGCCTTCATAATTGACAATAGACCATATTTTTTTATTACTCACCTAATATTCGCACTTGTGCTAAAGAATCTTCTAATACCGTTGCAAATATTATAGATTGAAAATATGGAAGACTGTAAAATAAATCGATATCGATACCTTTTGTTAACTGTTACGCACAACACTAGTTACTAAGATGAAGCATACACTTGGATTTTAAAAAAAACGATACCTACTTAATTATACATTAAAAATGGGAACATAACTGCTTATTGAAATGACAGGCATGGATATACTAAATAAGAATAATGTGAATTTATATTTATTTGGAGTAGAAGTACATAAATGGCACAAAATTTGCAACTAACCAGACAGGCTCCTCTTTTAAACGCTCAAAGTGGTTGGAAGTATCATCACTATTGATGCTCTGTAATAAAACATGGAAATTGATTGCTTCATCAGCATTCAGCAGATAACCTACCTAGGTGTAGGAAATATACAGGACCGTACTTTACTAGGTAAATAGAACATCTATACTACTAGTACTTAAGTATAGATTTTCTATTTTATTGACTACTACGACCAGTTACTCTTACTCCTCAGAACTCCTTTGGTGTTGCGTGTGTCCATGGGCGGTGCCGATTGCCTACCATCAGGTATTCCGCATCCGTAGGTATGTTCGTTCCCCGACTTATCTCATGAAAAAAGTTATTTATAAAATTCCACATTATTTAATTACTAGATATTTTATAATTCGTAGTTGGATATTTTTGACTGCTACCTATCGCTTCTGTTGACCAATGGTGATGGGTTAGTTTTTTATTAAGAAAGGAAAATCATCAAAATGACTTTCGACAGCCCTGGGTTAGGCAAGGATGAATGTCTGACACAGAATGACTAAAATGCACTCCGTTATTTTCTTGGTATAATCCTTGGAAGCGGTACCTTATTACCGTATTGCGCTTGTCCCGACTGGACAGCTTTACTGGGTGGTGGACCCCAATTGTGGCGATCTCATGGTTCTTTAAAGCCATACGTTTACCAAAATAATCATTCGGGATTTTTTACGTACGTTTTCTATTTGTCTCCCAGGAACATGACGAATAAACACATTACCAGCATGCTTATCGCTATCATCGCTTCGGGTTTTTGGTTTTGTGGCAGTAGTAGTTGTTGTTGTAGTCATTATTATTGTCTCTAAATGTATTTTAAGTAATACCAATAATAATCAAAATAGACAAAATATATCGACCTAATATAAACCTCTGTAAAAACTTTAAAACATATTCAAGACCCTTGTAAAACTACTAAATGTTTTTAATCAAAGGTTAAAACCGTTACAAAACGGTACGTCCCTTTGACGTTTGAGTGACATATTTTCATAAACAATATTTTTTATATAAACAAAAATTCAAGGCTGTATGAATAAAAAATGTCTGTGGTTCGAAACGAAACCTAAAGATGAATAGCGCAAGTTTCGTTACTTTTAGCATTTAAGCAAGTTCCATTTTGTTATTGCAATAACATTTAAGTACCTAATTCTTAATTATTAAAAACCAGCTTCACAAAGAAATAAGGGCGAATTTTGCAGGAAATAAGGGCTAGGTAGGTAGTATCGTCTATATTCCTTCAAATGTCCTGTCCAATTTAATCAGTAGATTTGCAGGTATAGTGTTGTGTCAGCGGTCCGTTACTTTTAAACTGAATCAATACTTACTATCTTACTCTTGTGAACACTAATTCCATCTTTGAATGAGACGCTCATATTGCAATACGGAACTACACTATCTATTCCAATAAAGTACTTTTATCAAAACCAAATATTATCAATGTATGGTGACTGTAGCATAGCAACTTATAATGATAATATCATAATCAATACGACATAAAGCGTATCAAAGCAATGCCGACCTGATTAATTGGATTTTCATAAAAGCTTTTCAAATATGACATTCGAATTTATTGGAACCACAGATTGGAACATATAGGTATCATCGCTAGTACAAACGTATAGTTATATCTCCGATTTAGGTACATTCTTTCTCACTGTTGCGATGTAGAGCTAGAAAATACAAGTTTTAATATCTGCATGGATAAAATAGAGTCGTTGATAGACGATCAAAAAATCCAAACTACAGCAAGGTCTTAGACCGTATTGACCATCTGATCCTTGTGGAAAAGTTGCTCAAGTCTGGAATACATGGTGACCTGTATAGATGGTTTTCGTCTTATATCGAGAATCGTAGTCAGTTAGCGGTTCTTCAAGGAAACACATCGGGTTGGACATCAATCGTTCCGCGTTCGGGGTACCGCAGGGTTCAGTATTAGGGCCTACTTTTTACCCCGAATTTTACTGAAGCAATAATCTACTTCAAGCTATCTTATGTGTTACTTTACGCTGACGACGTGAAGATCCATAAAATTTGACGTAGCATCTCCGATTTTCACCAGTTAAAAGCTGATATTAATAGATTTGGGGAAGCGCACGTAATCTGCTTCAGCAAAATGTTTCTAAATGGTTTCATATGATCAAGACGCGTCAGAAATTTACGGTGAAACTCCGTGAGTAAACCAGCTATACTCACAACTTAGACACCTTAAGTAAAGTTAACAGTATCAGGGATTTAGGCATTACACAAAATAGCAAATTACTAATTGATCAACACATTAAGAGTATTGTAAAAGAAACTGCGAAAGCATTAGGGTTTATAATTAGAGCTTCAGCCTGTTCTCTGAAGCCAATTAAGATTTTATATTGCTCGTTCGTACGGAGTCACTTGGAGTGCGCATCTCCAGTCTGGAATCCTCAAGTTTATTAGTTATCACGATGACAAAGCGCTCCATGTATCTATAGATTACCAGCACCGCTGTAAGAAGTACCATTTTGTTCCACTCGAGTACTAGCTTTGCGCAAATAAATAATGATAAATACCAAAATGTTCTATATATAAACGAAACACCGACAACGGAAGTGTACTTATGTGAAACTGTTTTATTTATTTATTTTTATTTATTTATTTGAGGTTAACCAACAACTGTTTACACCTTAACATTATCTTACAAATAATATTTGATCCTACACTTGTGTAACAATTAATTATAGGTTAACACCGCTAGTACAGAAATTGTGGCAATCATAAATCATAATACAATATTAATAAATCAATTACACAACAATGACAACAATGATAACAATAATAATTAAATAATACAATAATAAAGTAATAAGATAATAACAATTAAATTATTAATTAAAAATTAAAAAATAGGTACATTAATAAATAATATAATTCAAAATGTACAAGTCAAGTCAGAATCACTTAATATCCATAAATAACAATATAAGAATGCAGGGTAATAATATAGAAAACAAAAACAAAACGATCAATTATTAATTCAATTATTAATTCAATCAATTATTAATTCAAGGTACAGCTTTTAAAATTCTAGTAATACTGTCATGGTGTATGTCTATTAGTTCACTACAGTTGTTGAGAACCCTGCACATTCTGGGGATAGGGGAGTTAGAGCCAAGCACGGACCTTCGAAATGGCGGGCAAAGCGGCGTAATGATATTCCTAGGGTACCTAGAAGGAGCATAAAATCTAACAAGATCTAACAAGTTGGGACAATCAATTTGGTTTCGCAACAGTTTAAGCAAAAATAAGGCATCTGCGACATCTCTGCGCGTGGAAATAGGCTGCATTTTAAAATAATCCAAACGAGACCTGTACGAGGGCAGAGACTTATGCTTCCCTTCGCTATAAGCCAGATGCCATACAAAACGCTTTTGTACACGTTCTAAACGCAGAATATGTGCGGCAAAGTGGGGCCTCCATACAACGCTGCAATATTCCAAGATACTCCGTACGAGACTGTTGTACAATGTTATCTTGGTGCCGCTTTTACGAAAACACTTTGTTATTCGAATTATAAAACCTACCATTTTGGATGCTTTCTTAATAACATGTTCCATGTGGGGTAAAAAGGTTACTTTCCTATCAAAGAGTACTCCTAAGTCTCTTATGATTTCAGCTTGCTGGACTTTTTCTTGGTTTATGGAGTACTCTGATTCGATATGCTTAGTATTCCTTGTATATTTTGCATGGAAACATTTCGTCGAATTTAATTGCATTTTATTAATGCGGCACCATTCGATCACTTTATTAATGTCACGTTGTAACAGCTCGCTATCTACGGTTGATTCTACGACTCGTGCTATTTTTAAATCATCAGCATACATAAAAGGCTTTGAATATTGGAGACATAATGGGAGATCATTAATAAAAACCACGAAAAGAATCGGGGCCAGATGAGATCCCTGAGGAGCACCAGAGGCAATTATTCGTGATGAGGATCGATACCCATTCACAACGTCATAGAATTCGCGCTCCGTCAAATATGACCTGAACCATTTCAGTATCGGTCCATCTACACCGTATGCTGCAAGCTTTTTCATTAATATAGAATGCGGCATTTTGTCAAAAGCTTTGCTGAAGTCGGTATAGATAACATCCAATTGCTTGCCCTCGTCAACCGCCTGGATAAGGGTCTCAGCAAAAATTACTAAATTTGAAGCTGTAGATCTTGAGGCTACAAATCCGTGCTGGAAATTACTAAGATGCATTTTGAAATGTTGCTGGATTTGAGGGCAAACAATTGATTCAAATATCTTCGCGAAAATCGACAGAACAGAAATTGGTCTGTAGTTCCCAATACAGTCTTTCGCATCTGACTTGTGCACTGGCACCACCTTTGCCTTTTTCCATTCTAATGGAAATATTCCTGTTTCCAGGGACGCATTGTAAATGACTTGCAAAGGAGTCAGTAGAGCCGATGCACAATTCTTAATGAATATCGGAGGGATACCGTCTGGACCCGGCCCCTTCCCGATGTCAAGTGAATTAAGTTTTTTAAGTAGACAGACGTCATCAACTTTCAAAGAAGTTAAGCCCTGACTATTATTACAAATAGCTTGAAGATAGCTTGGATATTCATAGATATCTGAATCATTGTCAGATGCGTACACGCTTGAAAACTGGTTAGCAAAAAGATCACAGATTTGGGAACCGTCAGAAGTTACAACCTGTCCGTCAGTCATAGTCAATGGGTATGCACTTGATCCTCCTCGTTTAGCTTTTATGTAGCTCCATAAAAGTTTAGGATTAGCTTTAATGTTATTTTCCATATTACCTACATAATCATTATATAATTGCAGGGCATATTTCTCACATCGCTTAGATATTAATTTTAACTCAATTTTATCCATGGGATTTTTGTATTTTTTATAACGTATCCTAAGTTTGTTCTTTTCTTTAGTACATCTAATCAAGCATTTATCAAACCATGGTGGGTAACGACAATTTTTTGGTCTACTGTCAGGAACAAATTTGTTAGTAGCATCCTGTAAATGACTATAGAATATAGTTACCATCTCATTTACATTGTGGGCATCCTGAAAAAGGTCGCGCCAGTTAAGTTTATTTAAATAGTTGTTAATATCTGCATAATTAGCTTTATAATAGTTGGGTCTCCGAATCGTGTTATAGGGCAAGTTGCAATCTACAGCCAGTGACAGGGTTATTTCAAGAGGGGTGAGATTGATCCGTTTTTATTATTAAGATCTCTATTTATACCACAGATACCATAAACAGACATATATTCAGAAATTAATGACTATCCTATCCTTAAAAAAAAGATGTCGTAGCCGTTTGAACTTACAATCATAGTAATACGAGATACAATATTAAGAAAGTATGTGCGCAAACGCAACCGCTTGGGGTTTGATGAATTAAATAAAAGAAAGAGTTCCAATGTAAAATTTAATACCAGGCTCTGTCCACAAAATAATTTATGACTTAACACAAGTCAATTTGGTCTACATTATAACAAACATTTGTAGGACAACAATGTCATAAACGATACAGCATATACAAAATCATAATCGACTAATAAAATTAAATCACACAGCTTACATAATATTGATTATTTATACACATATTAAAACTTAAGTTACAAAGGGAAAACAATATAATTATTATACTAATTTTGTATAAAATTCAATACTATACACACAACACTTCTTTTTGATATAAAATTAAAATTAAGTATGCATAATACAGTTGAAATGAACAGATGTTGTTCGGGCTATAGTTCCGTTAATCTTTTCGCTGTGTCTAGATGGCGCTTCTGTTGTTTTAAGTCAACTCAGTCTTACAAGCGCTATGAAAAGTTTGATATGATGATTCGTTAACAGGCTGTTTATCGTTAGACATTATTTACGCTTAAGAAAACTATACTAACAGAAATAACTATCAAAAACACGTCAGTCAACATCTGTCCATTTCAGCCCAAATCTTAGGTTAAATTTTTCTTAAACATTTTTTTTATTTACATCGATTTCTTATAAAACTTTCGGTGAGAGGTATTTTTAGACGTCACATACGATAGGTATTTTGTGACAAGACATACCTACCTAAATAAAAACTAAACATTTTACCTACATAACTTTTATGACTCGGTGGAAAAGGCTGTGTTACTAAGGTCGTGTTTCATTGCCTGTGATCAAGCCTTGACTAGTATAACTGGCGAATAAAATTCACATATTTTATAGGAAATATTTTTTTATGTGATAGGACGGCCAACGAGCAAGCCGATTACCTGATGGTAAGCAATCAACGTCGCCCATGGACTCCCGTAACAACGGAAGAGTTACGAGTGCGATGCCGACCTTTTAGGGATTTAGGCTTGGGGATTTAGGGATTTGGGGAGAGTAAGGATTGGGCCCTCAGTAAACTCACTCACACGGCGAAACACAACGCTTTGATTGCTTCACGTCGGTTTTCTGTGAGGCTGTGGTATCACTGCGGTTGAGCCGACCCATTCGTGCCGAAGCATGGCACTCCCACACTTAAAATATATATATGCCAGTTATAACTTCGAAAACTTAATAAGCAGCAATGAAACCTGCCTTTAGCATATAAAAAACTTCCTATTCATAATTCAGTGCGATCGTATGACGGTAACATTCCGAGTTGAAGGGTAGACCAGAAAACCAGATATTAAAAAAAATAACTTACTGAGTAAACTATAATTTAGCCAGTAAATTTATTAAACAGTATAAATAACTTTTGCAATAAAGGCAAATAAATAAAAATGTCCGGTCGACTGATTGACGTTGAGTTTTCAATCTTAACTTAAGGGATTAAGGTCAAAAATATGTCAACGGCGATATAGTCGAACATTTGTTAGGAAATCTTATAAACACGTGTCGAATTTGTATTCAGTCTTTGCCATTCTCACTGTTCACTGACGTTTGAAGATAAAAAAGAAAGATATTTAGAAAAAAAATATAATTTTTTACATAGATATAAAAGCAGGTCAACATGCCTCTGTCTGTTAAAGTCTTTTATTAGATTTTTGATCTTATCTTTTTTTGATAAAAAGTCAAAAATCCAATGAAAGAGAAATAACCACTACGTTTGACTTAGCATTTGTTATTATGCCCGCTCCACACTATTGGCTGAATGTTGGTTCCAACTCCACTTGTCCAATTTCTCTAGTTAAAAGGTAGTCACCCAACATTGGGGCTACTTTCCAGCTAAACACGTTGGACGAATGGCAATGGTACCAATGTTTGGACCAAAGTATAGAGCTGGGGTTGAAAATGTTTGAACTTTCGGACTCAGGGTATAAATATTCATATTAAGGCACTTTTCATTAATAGTATAACCGAATCTAAAAAAAATAAAGGCGTATAAATAACCAAACTGAATAAAAAAAAATCTTTACTATGTGAATGATCTGATAACCGGTTCACATGAAAAACACAATAATTAAAGGATTTAAAATAAATTTCATTAAGAAATATATTGTATTAGCCTAAAGTTAGAAAGTCTTAACTAAAACTAAGTCCAAAAGACCATTTTAAATAAGTGGATAGAAGACCAAACATCAGCGAACTAGCTCAAACATTGAATAACTCTGCAATATAGGACAACTAAACATAATTATGACGATGTGTCTTCAGCGCTTTTATTACTATAGGCAGTAGGCTCATTATTGTTTAACATTTCACTCAAACTAAAACATCAAATAGTTTATAAATGATTATAATATTTCATACACAATGTACGAAAGGAGTTCTATAGTAAAATGCAGCTAAAAAGACACATGTCTAAATAAAGAATATATTTCAACAAAATTAATACTTCAGGGCATGGAAAAATATAACCATACAATAATAAAAATATTAAATTTATCTACAACTATCTACCTATAGTATTTATATTATCTATCTAATATTTTATGACTCTTGTGTCTCTTGACGTGAAAATTAAACATTAAAAAATATTAAATTATATTTTATTAGACGGCTTGGCAGTGGTGACACTGTTTTGCAACTTTAAACTTTAATTACCTTATAATAAAACATGATTTATTTTTAGTCTAGGTTTAAACCATTGAGTCAGGTTATTAATTTTGAATCTTATTCTCACCTGCTTTCAATTCGAAATACAAAAACCGACTCAATGGTTTAGACCTAGGCTGAAAAAAACCTTGTTTTGTAATAAGGTCGTAAAGGTTCAGATTTAAGGTTGATTTTTGTGTGTCACCACTGGCATGCGGTGTACGCGCTTGACTGCTTGGAAAATTCTATAATTATATACTATAAACATTAATTTAAATTTATTTAAGCCTAAGTGAGGCAGTCATATCGTATTGTCATTGTTATAGTCGACAGTTAATATTGTAAGCTTTATCTGTCCTTTTTCTTCGTTACGGAAAAGAAAGGGCGAGACAGACAAATGTTTATAAACTAAGACAGTGAAATTAAATTTATAAGAAATGTCAATTTAATTGTTATCATAAGAAAAAAGTATTTTAGTAATATTTGCAATGTTAAAAATACTTTAGAAGCAGTGTTTTTAATATATAAATACCATCTGAACGAGGTTGAAAATACATAGCAAAGTAACTCTAACCTTTCTGAGAATAAGGGATAAAAGAGAATTGACACAAGTATGAATTATGCAAAAAAAAAACTTAAAATTAGTAATTAAACTGAAATAAATTTTATAATGGTTAAAGAACACCATTACATGATAGAAGTATTAGTATAGTTAATAGTTATTGCTTTTGGAAACATTTTCATTAATCAGTGCTAGTTACCTTAAACATTAAAAACACTGCTTCAGAAGAACTAAAAAAAGGTATAACTACACAGAGTGTAGAATTATTTTGGAACGATTTTTTTCTAATTATAACTATGACTGTCAACAATATAACAATAACATTACATAATTTAAATATAATCTTCTAATATAATTTAGAATACCGGTGTTAGGAGTTAGGCAGTCGGCGGTGATTGGCGGGGGATGCGCGGGCGCAAGCCGCGGACCGCACGGACGCCGACATCACTTACTCGAAGACGGCTGGCCGCGTTCTTCTGTGGAATTATATGAGTTTCTGTTAGTTTATATTCTATGTAATAATATTTCATTAGAATTATGAAGATATTGTAGAACACTAAGATATATAAAATATGGCGAAAATATGTTAAAAATGTTGTTTCTGTAACTACAATAAAATTGCATCATCTCATGTGATTTCTAAATCATCAAATCATCTAAAAAGGGCTACATAATATTACGCATCCAATTCCATATAGGTACTATTAGATTATATTATGTTGAATAATTAACAAAAAATTTGCTTAGGGTATGTCAGCTTCATCTTTAATAATTACTAGCTACTCATCCATTTGATCGTAGCGTGATGTTTTATAGCATATAGCACTCAGGAATATTGTAGCTATCTATCAGTGAAAGAATTTTGGCAATCCGACTAGCGGTTCCAAAGATTACCCCCTACATACAAACTTACAAATTTTAGCTCTTTATAATATTAGTATTACCGAATCATAAGACTTTTTTAATGTCATTGGATTGTATATACGAATATAATTTAATTGCGACAGAATTTTATTTTTTTATAATCTTAAAAGGAGTGTCCGTTTGCGTGCTAAAACTGCGACATATGAGGGACGATAGTCAAAATGTCTATACTTCAGCCTAACTGCTATCAGCGCAACAATGTACTGCAGCCCAGGCCGGAGCAGGCGAAAGAACTGGGTTGGTTTTTAATCTGTAAGAGTCTGGCTCTCCCTTTCACCCCATCCAAGGCGTAAGCAATCACTTGCTGATTTTATCTTGTCTAAAAACCACCTGCCTGGTAGTGGCAGGTACTTGAAAGCTAACGTTTTGAAAAGGGATTCCCACCTTTGTTTTTTCAGCATCATTTTAACAGCATGTATTCCACATATATATGCAGAATTTTATGTTACCTCTTGACATGATATACATTTTTCTATGATCATAAGTTTCGTATGTTTGTAGTCAGTCAGTCAGTTTGTTATTATATGGTCTAGTCACCAGTACCACAAAGTTTATTACATTTGCTTCAATGAATGATTCACGATAATGTTGTTTAAATACGAACTGCCATCAGCTAGTTAGATATGTAGCTTAGGTATTATCAGTTTTCCTGCTCTCCAGCGTTCGGGTAAAACCCCCTAGCAAGTTTCACTTGTTGACATCTTTGTATTAATAGAAATGCGTGTCTTTATATTAATAGAAATGTGGGAGTAATAAATATTATGTTTTATTAAGTTTATTCACTGTCTATCAGGGTTTAAATAAACCTATTTTGATGAAGTGATTTAAATGGATAAAATAATAATGGCAAGAGCAGTACTTTTTACTGCCTTTAAGCCCGTGTTTCCTTTTATCCTTGCCAAAATTTCCATCTGATTAATAAATGACAATTATGAATCTTTATTGAGGAATGACTTGGGACGGTGACAATGTTAGTTAAGTTTGGGAGAGTCATGCTTCGGCCCGATTGGACTGACTCGGAGTGATTCTACGGCTTCACAAAATCCCACAGAGAAACATCTTTTGTGTTGTGTTTCGATCCCCTTATACTGAATCTCCAAGAACCCACTAATGGCCCGCCAAAGCACTTCTTGTAAGTAACTCCTTGGTATTGCGAGTATTCAAAGGGTGGTGTGCACTGTTTATTCATTCATTCGATCTGTATTTGTTTGTTTGGTTCCTAAAAAACTATTTTTCCTAACTATATAACTTTATCAAAAGAACTAGATAAAACTGCTTACAACTGGAATGACTCATTCATTTTACTAGTAATGTATTATGTGTTACTTCATATACGTAGTGTTGTAATAAATATTAACATTTTATTATTGTAGCTGCAATATATTTTATATGTTGTTTGTTTTTATTGTTTGTTGTTGCAAAATTGTGTATTTTATCTCAAGTACTTAGATTTTAACTGAAGTTACTTATGTATTGTGATGTTTATATGACTATATCAATTATTATTAAGCAGACGGATAGCCTGATGGTAAGCAATCGGTGCCGCCCATGGACTACCAAAAGAGTTACAAGTGCGTTGCCTCCCTTTTATTTGAGGACTGGGGATGGCCCATTTGAGCTTAGACTTTGGCACTTCTACACTTCAAAATCCATTATAAACTGACTGTTGATTACACGGAAAGATCCTACAGAACAAGACCATAATATACTGGTTTTGTATAGTTTGTTGATGTATAACTGAGTACCTAACATTAGTATACACAACTTTTATTTTTCGAGGGAAGAAAATCATTGAATTTCTGCTTCCGCCCTGGATGGGGCGTGTCAGCTCTTACTGTCTAAAAACCAACCTACCAACTTACTACTACTACAACTACGTAGGTACTTTTTACTATTGTAGACATTCAAACTTTAAATAACAGATTTTGTTTGTGATCATACAGAATTAAATACTATACATACTTCAACCGAAGCATTGGCCCAATTCGTATGGGGTTTCATACAAAAAGTCATATGTTGAAATACTGAAAAATACTTACTGAAATTCCTCCGCGCCTCCTCTCTTTCATGTGCGTCAAAGTACCATAACGTGATGGCATATCTGAAAATTATAGACAGAATTACGTTATTTCGACGTTCAAAAGTACCTACTAAGATTTAGTTATAATTATTAAACTTTCACTATATCTTTACAAAAGGAAATATTAATATTTAGCTTCACTCGTTCATGATTATAGGTCCTGAGCGTGACTTGAAACTAGTCGAGTAAGCTCGAATAGTTATTTGAGTAATACGTACAGTTACAATTTGAGTAACCTTCGAGACTTTGAATAGTCAACCTACCAGTAAGTCCGAATGACCTTTCTACTAAACCTAACAGAATAATATTTTTTATGAGTTTTTCAGAATTAGTGGGATCTAAAAACTTCAAGTGAAAGATAATTCAAAGGTTTCGAAATCTTTTTGCCAACAAAACATGTACATATAATGAACTCAGTTAAACCAAGAATATAAAAAATACCATACGAATAGATAGATCTCGTGAAGTATATTGTAAATCTCGTTATGACCTCGATTCAAGGCTTTCAATTGTTTTGAAAGCCAGAATAACTGTTTAATATCAATAAAATTGCTTTTTTCTTTGTTTTATCAACTCTTTTATTATACATTCAAAGTTTAGTTTCGAGTTTTATTATTGAAGCAATAAAGTACCTCTTATAACATTAACTTATATATTATATAAAAACTTGTTTATACGATATTCATCTCTATTGTCAAGACAGAAAAGATCTGTTTCATTTGCTTCTGTTTTGTCAAGGTTTTTGTGGAAATTATATGCTTATTGTTAAGCCAATTGATTTTTTTTTATTTGTTTCTAGTTGTAAGTAAGGAATGAAGTTTTACCTGGTGCTGTATGCAGGCTGGACCTCGTGGGGGTTCCGTCTGTCTGACCAGAAGAACAGCATCCTGTCGAAGATGGGAGCTATGTCAGCCACTTGGTTCGTACCTTCTGGGAACACCCTGTAAATAATACAAGAACATAAAATATTAGTTCACCAACGCTTAAATGAGTGTTTGCGCTATAAGCTGCTGCAGCAGCGCTAGTTTAGTTTTAGGTCAATTGATTAAGAACATATCTGATACTACAAATAACTGGTCAGTCAACTTGTGACAAGCAGGACTTGGACTTTACTTCTTATTAGCGCCATCTCGTGAATGCAAGCGAAAACTCTCAGTTTACTTACTGATATGAGGTAACAAATACGAATTTTGGGTTCGTTAACGTTCTAAATGGATCTTTGTGACCTCCCTTAAACTAAGCATGATTTGCAGTCACGTTAAATAGACCAACGCTTCTCCGAAGCGCGAATTTGCAAACAACAAAAGAATTACCATCAATGATAATTTTAACTTTTTTTTCGCAAAATAAAGCCAGCGCAGTATGATATTTACCTGAGCAATCCTCCACATCGTTTGACATCCCAGTCGAGATTCAGATAGTATATAGCGGTAATACAGCGGCCATCTTTGTTTGGGTTGTCCACATGTTTCACGTAATGGCTGCCTGAGCCGGGGTAGCATGCTACCATTGCCTGTGAAAGAAAAATAAAACAATAAGTACAGTGCTGCGTTTCCTTGTTTTCTGATTGAAACATACGGTCGTGTGAGGTAAAATATTCCGATATTTCACCTTGGTATGTCCTGAAATCTCTACCAGCCAATGTGGGGCGTGTGACAGCATAAGTACTACAATTATTTGGTGAACTATTTGCAATCCCAAAGACAAGAAAAACCTCAAGCCTGCGAGGCGATGCGGTTCTGGCAAACTCTTCTTTTAAGTTTTTTTTTAAACGAACGTTGCCCCACATTATGGCTGTCTCCTGTGTCGTGGGTGCGTTTACAAACATATAATTTCACATGCACATCACACCCAGACCCGGAACAACAATCTGTGGATTACACAAAGAGTTGTTCCGTGCGGGAATCGAACCCGCGACACGTTGCGCGGCAGCCAGTTGCCCAGCCACCGCGCCAACCGTGCAGTCAATTTACCCAGTAAAGCTGGCTGATGATTATGATGATGAAGTAAATACAATAAGTATGAATAATAAAAGATTACCTATACCATTGTTCTATACTATTCAAGTACGCAATCTTTGTTATCTTAACTAGCCATATAACTATTTCAAGAGCTATTTATCTTTACCTACCCTGGACTGGGCCTCTGAACAAAATTTATACTACGACAGGGTGCTATAATCTAGTGTTTATTACTGCATTGCCAACCAAGCGATCTTTTTACCGAGTCACTAAATGTAATAGTGTAAACATTGTAACGTAACATGCTTGGCACGTGTATGTTATACTTTACTCAGCTTTGGCAACAAGAGAAGTGTTTGGCCGTTGGGTATTTCGATTTTGACATCTGAATCTATAGGTATTCATATTAAAAGCTGATGAGTTTTTTTCTGAAATCGCTCATCACTGAAAATGATGTGTATAACGAATTTACTCATATTTTATTGAAAATATAAACGTAAAAAACAAATACCTATTATACATAAGTAAACATTACATAGAGCGGTCAAATATTTAGCTAGGGCAATTATTGCGAGCGCACGGCGCGTTGTGTTCCGCGCGCGCCTCAAAGAGCCAATAGACCACCACAGATAGGGCTGATGTTCAGCCGGGGTTGCGGGGTAAGCGCAATGAGGCACCGCGACCTCGGCCCAGAGCAGGAGAAGGAACAGGGGGGTTTTTAGTCAGTAAGAGTCTGACACTCCCTCCCGCCCGACCCTGGGCAGGAGAAGGAGAAGTCATTTGATGATTATCCCCTCACAAAAAAAGGGCAATTATTGGCATATTCATAGAGATGAAAATACAACGGCTCGATATTTACTTCCAATTGAAAACAGATAAGTACATACACAGGCACAGGTATTATTTACTGCGTTTGTTTAATTCAGAGATCGAAATTGGGATCGGTATGATGCAAAAGACGTTTTGGTGAACACAGAAGTGAAGCAGATTTTCCTATTACATGGAACAAGCACTTAACATAAACTAGCAAAAAAATTGAGTTATCCAAAATCACCCATTCAAAACACCCTTTTGTGGAATGTGCGATGTAATAAAAAGGGCATTATCACCATAAACTGAGACTCGCATCATCAGAAGGAAACCGGACCAAAATTGTTTACAATATTTCAAAGCCTACATAACATATAGTAGGTTAACGACTTCGAAAGTCCAATTTTATGTTAAATCGATTAGCAATGGTATCACGTGTCAAATATTGACATCGATACGCGGATCGAAGCCATTATGGAGTTGAATAGTCCCGTCTCACTGGGTGGTCCTATTCAGTATGGTTTATGAATAGAGCTGATATTCTTAATAGCCTATTGAGGTAGGCCTGTCGCCTGTTTTATATGTTATTGCCGAATCAGGGCACGATTTTGGCAGTGCGAATTTTGGGCTCATGTAGGAAAATACTTCAGAGATTTGGGTTTGGCGAAAAGGAAGTATTGTTTGTTTAAGGCAACTTTATGTTAATTATAATAAGTAAAACTGAGAAAGACCGAAAAGATACGCTAAAGATTTGCCTACCCTGAGAGAATTTCAAAATCAGTTACTTGCGTCTACAATTTCTTCAGTCTTCGGAAAATACCACTGCAGTAATCTTTTTCGCTAGACTTGAAAGCATTTCCGAGGGGCATAAAGAAATCTCTTCAATTACTTTTGACCATGAAAACCTTGAAACCCAAAGACCAACACCAATTACTTACATCAATTGTGTATTAATAATAACTCAATTCATCAAAGAATTTCATAAACACAAATACACGCGTAATAGCTCAAGTGTGCCAAATTATCAGGACTAATGTTATCAGATTATAATAATGTAATGTGCGCATTAGATACATTTTTTCTAGAAGATTTGGAAATAAATAAGGAAGTAGAGGTATTTTACTTAAGAAGAGGCTATGGCGTTTAATTCAGTAATTTAGTTTCTATCGTACAATAAATCCATTCGTTAGGACATTTTCGCCTTGTACTGTGCATATGTATAGATTTTTAGCTGTCCGCCTCAAGCCATTGCTAGCTACCTTGAGGATATCTCGCCACCACTTAGCCGTACATTCTTTACTACGCTAGCTCCACTTCAGAAAAGTATAACTTTCATTGGTTTTTTGAAACATGTGACTGTCCCTGTCATTTCAGCTCACTACTTAATTCTCATTTGTAATTATTGAGTCAATGGCAACAGCTCTTCAAGTACTAGTTAGTGAGTTGTCAATAGATATTGCAATGTTTGACGCATGAAAGCAGCTTAGATAAAGTCTATATTGACAAATAAAAACACACTGTATAATTTTTATTCGATTTATAAAAACCTGACATTCCAAATTTAAAAGCATGACGATAGATCGCACAGCGACCCGTACGGCGGCATTTTGGCATTACACTTTAGTTTTTTGCCATTAAAGGGACCAATTACTATGACTTCTAACCACTTATTAACTCAACGAATCAAGCATCTTTTTAATGATAAATTATATAATAAACACATTTCGTATTTGATTCACCAGTTCGATAGAAACAAATCTTTGTCGTAAAAAATGCCATTGCTAGAAGGCAAGTACAGTAAAGTGCATCAATATCTATATTAGATTAGATTTATCAAAAAGTTTAATAACAAATAACTGTAAACTCGCCTTAGATCGTAGAGTTTAATGCATAATTAACTATATAATAATCACACGCAAGGTTAATCCTCTTTACGATAACCTACGCCGTTATGCGGCAAACCGCCAATGGCTGTCAATTCTGTGACCAATCAAAGCCATTTCCGGATTCTGCAGCACGTGCTCACTTTTTGAATATGGAACGACAACAAATCCCGCTAAAAAGAATAACAGATCTTTTTTGTTGGGAGCCAGCGCAGCCATTTTTTTTTTGTTCGGTTGTGTATTGACGAATGGCAGATGGTTTTGGTGGATTTACCGTGCACCTTTTGTGAATGTGTCTGTTTGTAAACACACCCACGACTTGAATATTTTTTAAAAGTAGAACAAAAACGTAATGTCTGTTCTAGCCATTATCATCCTCAAGCTTAATTTTAAACGATTTTCCTGCCCCAAGGGCGTACTGAAAACATTGGCGTACCTGTTCAAACACATGGTAATTTATATTGATAATGATGCAAACCCCAGTGGGCTACGTGACAAAAAGTGTGTTAGTGATATTGAGTAATTTCTGTACCTACAGTACCTAATGACCAATCAAAGGTCCGTCACTGACCAGTTTAAAATGTACTTGACAGAAAAATTACAATGGCCGTTGAACTAGATAAGGAATGTTTGAAGATACGAGCTCGAAGATATTATATTTTCTTGAATCAATGTGGATCTTGCTTCTTTTGCCTGCCAGTAAACATTTGGGGGATATTTTGTGACTGCTCTGTACTATCTAAATATTATATTCAGTACCTACATATTTATTTGTTTCCTAAATAATAAATAAATAAAATAAATAAATATATGGCGTTAAATTATTTCTATACTCCCCTTAATAGCAAAATACTTAATTACGCTGATTATTTAACTTTTCTAAAAGCTTTCTGTTGTCAAATCATTAACATTCCAATATCGACCTTCAGCCGGCATAAAAATCACAAATAGCAGACCACACAGTTCTGTGCAAATTTAACGCTCTCCGAGTCAAAGTCAATATTAGATGTCCAGTTTAGTTAGAGCTGTTTAGATATAATGATATTCTAAAATACACAAGGTGAAACGGAAGATGGTTTTAACAGTGTTCCAAATTAGATTGGTCGTGTAAATCGAACAATAGTAGTTTGTAAACAGAGGGATGTCGGCGTGGGATTCGCTTACGATTCTTACTAATGTTTACACTGCCCCCTCCCCCGAGTACCGCGCCACCTCTCCGCCGCCATGCTACAAGTCACGTACGCAACGCCATCACCGCGCATGCGTCGACGCGCGTTATTTTGGTTTTTATCGCGCAAACCAGCGATCCCTTAGTACGATATTAGTTTTGCGAAATGATAACGATATCAGTACGGAATAGATTTTCTAGGCGGTTTTGTCATTGTAAGTACTTGGGTATAATACACATATTTACCTAGGATATACTTAAATATAAAATTTTACACGATACCTACTTACTGGTTGTCTCCTATAACAGAATATACCTACCTATGTGCACAAGTTTTTCCAATAAAACTATACTTTGTCTTAACCAAAGTTAGGTACTTACATGTGTTTTCATGAAATAAATTAATTTTGTAAGTACCAACATTAGCTTCACATATTTCCCTTGACCATTATTCTGCGATTTGCAACTACCTACAGTTGTGCAATAAAAATAATCTCGACAGCCAAGCGATTTATCAAATCGTCGCGTCGCGGCGCCTAACGTACGCCTACTGGCTACGTAAATAAATAATATTTAAAAAGTGACCCACTTTACATTTATGACCACGTTAGAATTGGACACTAGAGAATGACCTTATTAAAAAATTATGTACTAGTATAGCGTTACGTGTGCCCTTCTGTAACATTAAAGT